CCAGTATAAGACGTAAACCGTAACACGACAACAGTAGCGTAAAGAGGACGGCGAATGACATTGTGCATCCGCAAGCGACTTCATCACCCCGTTAGATGGTCACGGGGCGGAAGTACATCAATGGCAGGACTCGCGTTACCGTTCCCTCACAAACTGGCAACGGTATAGTCCCATAGTCAGCGGTGTGTTACAAGTACGGTCCGTAGGTGCGGTGACCCTTGCGACAACTGCAATTGTCCCCTCGATGTTAATAGCATTCTTCCATTAGCAACCCTTTCGTCACATATTGCGTTCAGAATATAGCGAATGTGTATTGAAATTCTCATTTCCACGGACTATTTTACGAAAAATCAGAATGACAGGAAAATTTATCCCTTCGATTAAGTAGATATTTATTATTATATTCAATTTCTCGATATGTATTAAACCTTCGTAAGCGAACATATTTTTTCACACTCCGTAGGTGAACTGGGTCGTTCATATCCAAACCTAATTTTTTTTACTGTTCTAGGTTTTCGAGAAATCTTGAAAAAATTCTCGAATACTTATCGAAGTCTACTACATTAAACAATCATTTCGTTTAGTCGAATGTTCAAACCATTTTTTCAATGAAAATAAAAATTCGGAGGAAAGTTAAGGAAAAAAAGGAATTTGCTTGGATCGTCAACGACCCCCATCGACTACGAGGGGTTAATATTGAACAACTTGTTACAGAGTCTATCACTCGAAATATTGTATATTATCTTGTAATATCTCGTTAACAAAGCCTCGGATAACATTTTTGCTAAAGAAAAACTTATTGCAAATCGCCTTACGAGTGTCCCATTTCAGAGGCCTGCAACATTTTTTCTACACCTTGTATAAACCTGGGTACTTGACCGCCCCTTTCCAGACCCACTTTTCGCCGTCCCCTTGTGTCGTTAAAATTAAATTTTGAGAAAATACAAAAATACTCGAACTTCACATAGGATAAAATGAACAAATAATTTCACTTGTAACATATGTGTCATGTATTTCATTCTAATAATTATTTGCATAGAAAATAACAAAATTAAAAGTAATCGTTATATCTTTTACAATATTCTTAAATTTAAAAAACAAAATAAATGTACCTACGTATTTAAAACAACGCTTTGGGCTTTTAGAGACGCGAATTCGTCTATCGTTTTTTACCTCTCTATACTTTTTGTTATTTCATATTCAATAGAAAGAAGTGCTAGACTACTTATTGTTAGTCTTTCTTGTAATTTTTAATTATTTTGAGTTTTGTGAAACTTCTTCCACCAGACGCAACGAAAATTGGCAGTGTTAACATTATTCTTAGGGCAATAGTAAAATTTGGGAAACAAGACCTTAATCAGCGTTTACGATATTTTGTAAAATATAAAGGGGATTGTTCGATAACGATGTGTCAGGAAAAATTTCCTGGTACGACAGTATTTCATTATAAAACTGAATACCATCTAAATACCTATTTAACAAATTATTTTCATTTGACTAGAATTTTACATCCAGATCCATCATGATTTCATTAAGGCGTCATTGTCCATTCCTTCAAAACCATATAGAAATATAACAAGAGATTCTCATTCATTTACTAATTCAAACCTTTCATTAAAAGAATTGCTTATGTGATTTACAGTTATCGTTTTTTAAATTGCGATTTTGTTTTTCAATTTTTGTGAAGCATTACGACCGCAAAGACAGCGGTAGGCCGACCCCCAAATCGACCGCTCACGTGCGGGGTACATGTTCGCCTTCCACCAAGACCGGCCCTGTTATAAACATATTTCATAAAAATAAAATGTCTTTACATGTATTTAAATTATATTAGAAATGGATATATCGGCTTCAGATATTTTTCGAAAAGCCCACAAAGCCGATATATCGGCCCTAAAGTACTAAAAGGGGTAAAACCCCCCAAAAATTTTAATTTCAGACTTTAAACAATTTCGTAATATCTAATTGCACTTACTTCCTTTTCGATAAGTGTCCGAATACTTACTAACGGTAGTGTGTTTATAAATATACATATAAAGTGAACGAAGTGGCAATAAAACCAGCCACCACTTCCCAAACGTTCACAGTTGACTATCAAATAGAATTCAGTCCCATCAAAGCTAACGTCAATTCACGCCCAGACCGTTCATTTCCGTCAACCGTGATTCGATCAGCGAAATAAGGTGAGCATCATTACCCAGTTAGCTCGTCCCGTTTCAGACCGTTCGAAACCGTGCACGCAGTGCGATCGTGTCCCGGAGATTCTCTTTCCGCCCGTGATAATTGCGGAACACCGAATCCGAGGGCCATACGGGGCACAATTGGAAAACGGATCTGTTCCTCGCGCGTTGCACTCATCTTCCCTGAGAAAATACCCATGTGACTGGAGGGGCTCGGTTCGTGTGAATGGTTACGGTTTAGAGATTAACCTGCGCTCGTAGACGCGCGTATACATATACACACGAAAGCTCTCGAGCAGATAACATGGGCCACGTACACTCCCGTTCATAAGTACGTGAACATTTATCGAATATGTAATAAATGTTGCGGGGCATTGCGAAATTTCTGATAGTCTGAAATAAATATTATTTAAGGGATTGTAAAGTTCAGTGGATAACTCTTATATTAGACGAAAGTAGCCAAATATGGAACAGCATTTTATTTTTCGAATGTCATTCTTAACACTAGAACTACCAAGCAAGTCAAAATGACTTGCCAATACACTCTTACAACGATGATTAAAACGTTATGACAATACATTTTCTCAGATATTTTGTAACTTTTATTACGATACGACATTAAAGAAATTAGTCAATTTATAAATTTGTACATTTTTAAAAGTTTGTCATATTTATCGATCGATCGAAAATATGTGTGTGTTTATCGTTGGTAGTTCTAGTGTCAAAGAATCAATCGCAACAAATAAAAGACTAAATTTACGTTCAATTTAATCCACTCACAATTTATAAATTTGTCAATTTTCAAAAGTTTGTCATATTTATCGATCGATCGAAAATATGTATGCGTTTATCGTTGGTAGATCTAGTGTCAAAGAATCAATCGCAACAAATAAAAGACTAAATTTACGTTCAATTTAATCCACTCATTACATCTTTTTGGCATCTTGTACAATAATTTCTTTTTCATAAAATCAAGAACCAATTGTCATTTTCAGACTATTTAAAACAGTTTTTAAAATATTTTGTTTATAAACAATATGTTTGCTCACGATAAATAGCAAACTAGTAGCTACTGTTTTTTTTAATGTTTTGATGGCATTTAAAAAAGTTTCGTACTGCCGATTGTCAAGAAATGTTCCAAATATTTTCACCATAGTGATAAAATGGGCGTCCAGTGTAGTAGACAAATGCAGTTAGACGGTTAAAAGCAGTTTTATATTTCTAACGTTATGAACAATGTTCAGTATGGAACTAACATTTCAATAAAAATTGTTCCTAATAAGTACCCAAATATGAAACGCTGAAAACAAACAAAAAATGGTTTTATTCTTCTTATTGATTGAGGCACTTTGGTTATAAAATCATATTTTTTTAAAATTAAATTAAGAAGTAGATACTTGCAATAATCATATATCTAAGTATGAAACTCTGCAACAATGCATTCGTCGTATTCCATATTTGAAATTTCACGAAGTCAAAAATACGGTACCTATTCTGCTTTTGAACACATTGACTGCCAACTACGAGATAATTCGTAGTTGAAACATTGCAAAGAGGCTGGATTAAATAAATATCGTTACAAAATTTTTGCGTAAAATTAATATCGCAGTATAATTTGTAACTACACAAACAGCCTCTAGTAACTGAACGCATATATTTTAGACGATTTATGACTAAAAAAAGAAACAAAATGTGTCTGGTTACGTACGACTTTTTTCACTGTGGAACACAACGTATTAAAGAGAATCACATAGCTTCATAAACACTTATGAATATCACAGACAAATATATCAATAATAAAAAAGAAAAACAAGTAAGCATGGAAAAATAATAATAAATAAGGAAAATACATTAAATTTTACAAGCCGTCAAAAGTTTTTCAGCAACAGCAAAATTAAATGATCCTGCCCCATCCTTAACGTTTGCTCGATTGACGAGTCACAACGTGAGCGATGTCAAAGTGAGCGAATGCGATAGCCTATAGCCGTTTGACAGATATTAATTTGTCAGATTTTCAAAAACTCCACTATTCCATATCCGACCACTTTCCTCTACTATGAAATAACAAAAGTACCCCAAAATATATCATTTCTACAAAACATCACATTTTCTTCATACAGACCAGGTGTCGCAATACTTATGCGCGGTAGTGTATAAGGACAGGAGGCGTCGGCGTTACTGAGACGAGCCTAGTGAAACCCCGTTATCTCTAGAATGCTAATTCCCGTAGGAACGGCACCAGACGATAGATACCATCGGTTTCTCTCCCGATCTTCCATGGGCGGGCACCAGGTTATCGAAGTGCGCGCACGGCTAATCCAACGTTGTTCTCGCCTTTCTATCCGACGATTTCCAATCTGTGGAATCGACTACTTGCTTCAGATCGAGTAGCTTCCCTCCAGATAGTGGAAGCACACAGTCGCTACAGCGCGAGAGATTAATGGGCCAAGGAATGTAACTTTCTTCGTGGGGATCGATGATGAGCACGCTGAGAAATCACGATCACACGTACACACATACACTTACACGTGGGAGCTCTCAGCATCCTCCTCGCGAAGGAGGTCGTGGAGGTCAAACAGATCTCCTAGACATCCGCTTTCCCTGGTCCGGTCCAGCAACATTGTGGTTTGAAAAGATCCACGCACCACGGTTTTCTCCGCTATTTGCCGTGCCACGCCGCGAAATACCTAGCGTTCTGAAGGGAACGAAACGATGGGATTTCCCGCGCGCCACTCGACCTGGCCTCCCATAGTAATTGATAGTCGATCGTTGGGAATGCTGTCCGGTCGTGGAGAAACTCATTTTGTTTCTCGTTTCCAGGCTGCATGGATCGTACGAGGCGCTCAAGTACGGCACCCTGTTAGACGGTCTGTCCGATCTCACGGGGGGAATCACAGAGAGCATCGCGATACGACAGGATCCAACGGCCTGCGGACGGGCGCTCACGAAGCTTCTCGATATGACGTCCCTGATCACCTGTACAGTAAATAACAATCAACAGCAGGTGAGATATTTCGTTCTGCGTGGTGTTCAACGGTAATCTGGACTGTTAAATGTAACGTGATTAAGCAAATACAGAGTTGGGAGACACGAATCGGATGAATTGTAGGTCGATAGAGTCAAATCGAGACGTTTTTGGGTAGTGAGATATGAATTGGACTAAGCTGGGTCTGAGAGACGCGACTTAAAGTAATTCAGAAGTGGGAAACTTGAATTTAACCCTCCGAGCACGGTCCCTGGGTCACGCGAGAGCGAGAGCGACATGCACACAGTGACAGAGTCAGGAGTGGGGAGACGCGGTCTCGAGAGCGACACGCACGCAATGACGGAGCTGTCGCGTAAATTGCATACCGACCGATGTTTGTTTACATACGAACGACAGGGCCAAGACGCTGCAGAAGTATTGACTAATAAATATAATTTGTCTTATAATTCACGAGATTTTTATTCTAGTTAGTGTAATAAGAACCACGAAAATCCAAATGTAATGTGGAACTAGCTAATCATTACATTGTATAGATGGTGACGGTGGGTCGAACTCGACTCGAACAACCGCCACTGCGTAGTAATATCGGTGAGGGTCTCGAGCTCGAATTTCGCCGTCGCTGTGTAGTAGTAGAATATCGGTGTGGGGTCAGAAATGACATAGGGACCGATGACCATGTTTTCGTGCTCGGAGGGTTAACTAACTTGAAACTTACAGACTTGAATGAGACTAAGATAAGGTTGAATTTGGTCAGTCTAACGGCGTAGAACCTCGGTTGAACACACTTATGGCAAAAGAACTTGAATCGGACGCACCCAGGACCAAATAACTTGGATCGAATGTACCCAGGGCTAACGGGTCCGAATCAGGTTTTTTTTCAGAAGAATTCGAATTGGACCAATCTAGGTCAGAGGGACATGGATCCAGCCATCCAATATCGTTAGTCCATAATTAGGCCAATCCAAAGTCAAAAAAACCAAACAGAAGACTTTCGATTCCCAAAGACTCAAGTTTGAGATCCCTCAGATCAAACAAGAGATCTCCTAATACCTAAAGTCTTCCAGATGCAAAGCCTAACGCTCGAAACCATGTAAATTTAATAACTCCAAACGAAGATTCCCCGGTCTCAAGAACCGAAGTTAGAGACATCCTCAGACTAAAGGAGACAGGCCTTAATCCTTCGGAACTCAAAAGTCAAAGATTGAGACTTCCCAAACCCAAGAAATGAAGATCACGATGTTCTGAATCCAAGGACACCCTCCAGTCATCAGAGGCACTCCCCTGACCTAGGGACCTAGGGCCCCAAACCTGAGAACTCCAGACTTCATAACCCAAGTTGGAAATGTATCCTAGCCAGGATTCCTAAGTCTAATAAATGGGTTTCGTGCTTCAATCCCTGGGTGTGATAGGTCTCCAGCCTAGATCCTTGGGTCTGGAGGGAGTCAGGCCTGGGTCCTTGTCTTTAAGGGGTCTAGAACGTGGGTCCTATGGTCTGGAAGGCCTTAAACCTAAGTCCTGTAGTTCAAAAGGCCTCAAATTTGCGTGTTTGACTCCTGGGGATCTCGAATTTGAATCATTGATTCTAGGGATCTTGTATTTCAATTGGTTTTATATTTGGATCCTTGGTTTCAGGGGATCTCAAACTTAGATCCCTCCATCAAGGAGTGACATATTCAGTATCTCAGAATCTTGTATTGATTCGATTGAAATCTGTGATACCTGTGCAGGTCAGATTTATTTCACGACTCTGAAATAATCAAAATCTCTTGATTCTCAGCTGGATCTGATACATGTTTTTCATGAGTTTGACTGTCTTAAGTTTATTGATCTTGAATTTCTCTCGATATTCCATTTGACACATCCCAACTCTTATCATTGAAAAATAACTGTTATGTGTTATATTATTTATTCAATCTGTCTATTAACTTGAATATTTATTTATATTTACTTTTTTATCTAGATTCGTGCCAGTACGGAAAAACTTGCCAACGGTATTCAAATGGGCATTAACTACAGACTCTACGCTATTGAAAGGGTGGGTATAACCGATGGAAATTAATTGTTCTATAATTTATGATATAAACAAAAAGTGTACAAAGGTTTTTTTTACAAGAGAAAAATTTTCTTTCATTCCATGTAATAGAAATTCTGTTCATGACTTCTTTCGTTCTATATTATTAAAATTCTTTTGTGACCAAGTATCATTGCATAAATGCAGGTGGAGACGTTCAGTGGCGAAGCAGTCCAGTTAGTAAAATTAAGAAATCCTCTTGGTCCTGGTGGGGAGTACGTAGGCGCTTGGGCAAGAGGTGGCCTCGAATGGGACGAAGTACCGCCGATGGAAAGGGAACGTTTAGCGGTCAGAAACATGGCCGAGGGGGAATTCTGGTGGGTGAAACGAATTTTTTTTAAACCACAATCTACGCCCTTTTCCCATACGTATTATGTACGCAGACCGATTCTTTCTCCACATAAGCTGAAATATAATTTCTGATACAGTTGAAAATACTTTTCGTGTAGAAATAAGTCGAAAATCTGAAATAAAATTTGTTTTCTTCAAGATTTTTGTTTAAGTAATAGGTTATAGGAATTCGTAAAATATGTGCGAGATTGAATGTATTATAATACAACCGATGTGTCTGACTACTGGAGCACCACTTTTACTTGCGCCAGTATTTTAAAATTATAATGTACATATGATTCGGATCGTAAAAAACCCTTGGTTTCCTTAATTATTAACCCTCTCAGTACTTAAAATTTTTCTATGTACCATTTACAAATAATTTAGAAAATTATGCACTTTGAATATATTTATTGAAATTAACACATATTTTCTAAAAATAAAGATAAATTTACGCTTTTTCTTTGTATTCTACTGTGTAACGTGTTTTGTTTTACATAAAAAAACGTGGGAAGTATTATACATTTCGTCACCTTATGTATCAGAATTTATAATTTATATTACATATAAAAAGCCAAAAATCGAATCAAGGTATTTTTGGCAAAGACCGTAAAACCGATATTTCGGCTTTTGAGTACTAAAGGGGTTAATCTCCACTAAATCATCGCATTGTAAAATACCATACTCCTACAAAAATTTATTTACAAACGGATTAAATAATTTTTTAAGAATCATTTGCTAAGAGGCGAATTGGATGAAAATTTGTTTTCTCTGTCAAGAATCCATCTGTATTAAATGTAGAAAAAACAGCTGTGTATTTTAAAAATTTAGTATTATGGTGTGGACATTGAATGTATTATTCTACTGTATGTATTAACTAACAAAAACATTTCCGATTGACATCAGGATATCCTACTCGGACTTCGTGAAAACGTTCACTCACTTAGAAGTCGTACATCTTGATGCCGAAACGTCGAGGGATGAACCATCGTTGCATAGCAAACACACTTGGCAGATGAAACTCTACCAAGGCAGTTGGAGGAGAGGCGTTACAGCGGGAGGATGTCGAAACAATCAAGGTTCGTTTTGCCATTTATTCGAATAACGGAAATACCACGCAGGAAGTTCGATAATACGTAGTAACAGGCATTTGCCAAAATTACGATCCATTCTAATTCTATGCGTTTAAATTGCAGAGACTTTCCACATCAATCCGCAGTTGCACCTGATTCTTAGCGAAATGGAGGAAGTGATCGTTTCGTTGAACCAACACTCCATAATGGAGCCAAAAGTAAGAAATTCTACCTTGAAATTTAAAACTATTGTGAAAAATGATCTAACAAAATGAGATTGATGGAAGTAGATTAACCCTTCAGAAACTACACCCCGCCATAGCATACGTAAATACCACGTTAGCGTGAATTGGGATTTTAAATTTTTCATGATGAAGAACTTGAAGAGAAAAGCAAACTGAATTCAAACCATATTTCTTAGGACAAAATTTCCTCAGAAATTCAACGGGAATAATTTTACAAGCGAGATACAATTTTTTAACTGTGAAAATTTATTATAAAGAAATGGTAAATTTCAAAACGAATAGACGAAACAATATTTCGATGCTTCAAATTCGCCCTAGTGTGGTGTCTGAGGGTTAGAAGGCGATGGAATTAGACAGATTACTAGACTTAATTTCAAAGCATGAGTAACCATGGACTAACAAATAAGACGACTTAGTAATATACATATCATATAATTATTATCGAAAATGTATAAACGAGTATAATATTTTTAAGGTGATAGGCTTTACGGCGTACACGTTGCCCAAGAACAGCACGGAGTCGATAAACAAACAGTTTTTCAAGAAAAACAAGTCACTGGTAAATTCGCAGTACACGAACAGTCGACAAGTAAGCCACAGATGTCAACTAGAACAAGGTGGTTATTTATTAGTACCGACCACCTTCGAGCCGACACACGAAACCAGTTTCACGTTGCGAGTCTACAGTAGCAAACCTTTGAAACTTAAGTAAGTATAGACCCAGTCAGCCAAACATGCAAAGCCAAATTTTATCCAATGTCTGTTATAAAGTTATGGCTACCAGTTTGATGCAAGATTTGCTATAAACAACTTGCAAACCTTGTTCCGATTTTGTCCTCAATTTGACATAGGTCATGTTGCAAGACTTTCTGCCAATTTGCTTTACCATTTCGTCGGCCGGCGTTGCCTGCAAAACCCAAATCAAATGCGGAAACAAATGGCTATGGTTTTTTAGACAACTTTTACACAACTGGTTATCAGGGGAAATTAATTAGTGTATTAATAAATCTTAGTCCAAGTACTGATAGTTAAGCTTTACATTAAAATATGTGTCTGCCACCAAATTACAATATTTGAACGTGTAATGTGAAACACGTTTTAAAAGTGAACAGAATTCTGCTTACCGACACCATCAGACGATTCAATTTTCAACTATGTATTTAAAAAAAATGACTCCACGTTATTATTAAGTGTATTAATAGTCGACTGTTTTTTGTGAAATAATATTCGTTTCGAAATAATTCAAATACCCACCCTACTTTACCCTCCCTAGTCATTTTGGGTAAACAGAAGATTGAAAAGATATTCTGAATCTAAGATATATTGTCACCATATTGGAACTATTGTGAATTTTACTTAATATAAAGTAGATCGATGTATTAGGGTTATTCATAAATATCATGTCACCGACACTGCCCAGTTTATCAATAATTATGAATCACCCTAGTAACACAAAGAGAAGGATAAATTCCATTTTTCGAGATTATTCTCTCTCACTCAATTTTCATAATTCTATTGAAATTATAATAATGAAATTGCTATCAGGCTTCTGGACACACCCCCGTCCCTGATGAAATCTGCCATCGTGAAGGCGCCACCTCTTGAGGGCAAAGGGTTCTCACAATACGAAGCCGTTTTCTTGCAACTTGCTGACGAACACAGAACGGTGAACGCCTTCGAACTGCAGGAACTTCTCGAGGCTTGTTTACCGAATGGTAAAACACTGAAGATAATAAATGAATAAATGAATTGCATAATTGTAATCAATTTTATAAAGCAGTCTTATACTTTTGTTGTAGACTACATTAAAAGTTGCGCCTGTATGGAAGTCTGTCGACAAGTGGTCCTCACAATGGATGTATCCTTAACATTAATTTCAACCTTTCGATTTTTTTTTAGCTCTGCATCGTTGCTCCTTGTATCTCTTGTGTTTTCCTTAAATCGATATTAAATAGAGTACAGGAAGCGGCCGATTGAAGTTCAACGATTTCAAGGATCTCATGTGCAGTTTAAAATACTGGCAGGCTGCGTTTAAGAATCACACGAAGGAAAAGACTGGTATCCTCAAAGCTGAACGATTACGTGACGCTTTGCTGGAAGTTGGTGGGTTCATAATCGATATACACTGATTAGTGTTGAAATGTCTTGAAAAAAAAAAACTTGAGTTTAAGACAGATTTTTTCCACTAGGATTCCAATTGAACACCGATGTGCTCTCGATTTTAATTTTACGATACATGAGGAAGGACGGAACGCTCAGATTCGGCGATTTCGTCTCCGCGATATTACATCTGAGCGATGCATTCGGTATGTAACAAATTTCTGTAATTTAAAATTTACGTAACTACTATTGTTTTTCAATTATATTTTAGGTATATTCGAGAGTAAAGATCCCTTGCAAAATGGAACCATAAAATTAAGCCTAGCAGAGGTTTGTCTCATTTTTGATAAATTAAATGAGATATTTTCCATTTCTATATTGCATCGATTTGTTTTTGTTACAGTGGCTGAGATCATCCTTGATGTGTTAAATCAATTACACGACGTAATCTCTCTGTACCTTGAAAGAAATATCTGTAAATAATGTTTTGTATGTCGTATGTAGACCTAAGTTTTAGCCATATTAACGGTTAACGATCGAGCTCGTCATTTTATTACTGTTTGTAAAATAATGTCATTATTACATGCATTAGCGATCATCATTCCTTCATCAGATTAAACATTATAGAATAACTATGTACAATATGTTGTTTGTATAAGAAATTCGTACTGGATAATAAAATTACCATTATTTTGTACAGTCTCTTTACCCGAAATGAGCATAAATAATTATCTAATTATGTTTAATACAGAAATATATTTTAAAGCATAACTTATTAATAGACTGCATATTTATGCAAATACATAAAAATTTTGTTTTTCTGTTTACCAGATTTTAGATCAAATAAAAATCTAATAAAACTTTATTAACTATACAGAGTTTTACAAAATGGGGTATTTTATAAATTCATAAAATCTGTCTACTTCTTGAATATGCAATAAGATATACATGAAACATGCAACTGAAGTGTTATGCTTGAAAATAAAAAATAAAATTAGTCTCTAAATAATGTAAACTGTGAATACTATTATTTCTTGTTAAATCACATGTTTTATCAAAATTAATAAAGAAATTAAAACTAACGATAAATCAGTCCAAAGAAGCACGTGTACGCGACAATGACGCACCAGAATAGATTTCACGTAAAATCTCGTGCGCATGTGTGTGGTGTATGTGTGTGTGTGTGATGACGTTCGTTTCATCAATGAACAACCGATATATTTAAATATTTTAAAAAAATCGCTAATATGGTTACTAAACACGCACAAACTATTCAATCCACGATTTTCAGAAGGTCATGAAAAACAGTGCTTAGTTAGATTGTGTCACATCATACCTAATGACGTGGATATAGGTTAGGTTATGCATATCGTTGTAACGTTTACCTGAATCTAACCGAAATATTTTCAAGTGTCAATCAAGTAGTTTAAGAATTCGTCATTGAAAATAAATTAAATACAATGTTTGAGATCACAGATACACAAAGTAAGTAATTCACAGTTTCTAACTTATAAAAACAAGTAGCAATCCGAAAACTTTGGTACAGTACGATGATCGCAAACGAAAGTCAACATTAAACATTGTAACAATATAATATTGATTTTAGAAATTGGAGTGGGACTTGCAGGGTTTGGAATATCTTTCCTCTTTCTTGGAGTCTTACTCCTCTTTGATAAGGGTTTGCTTGCTATCGGAAACGTAAGAATTGTTCTCACGCATCTGTGTAAACTTCAATGATTTGCATTGTTGTACTACTCTTAACTAATAAATTGTTTCTATACAGATTCTATTTATATCGGGATTAGCATGTGTTATTGGCCCGAAGAGAACCCTGAACTTCTTTTTCCAAAGACATAAAATAAAAGCCAGCATTTCGTTTTTGGGAGGTGTTATTGTGGTACTTATGGGTTATCCTGTTATAGGAATGATTATAGAAACATATGGTTTTATATTATTATTCAGGTATGTATTTATCAATTATTAAATTCTTTAAACGTACAGTCATTTATTTTTGTAATATGTTTAATCTTGTATTCTCAAATTCATGTTACAGTGGTTTCTTACCAGTAGCAATAAATTTCTTGCGGAGAGTACCTATTTTAGGTACTATTTTAAATATGCCTGGTCTAAGTCGAATTCTAGATATGATTGCAGGAGATTCTAACAGAACAACTGTATGATGTGGTTCTTAACATTACCGCTCAAAGAATGTATATAAGATTGACTATTGTATATTGTGTCACACGATCCCCTGTCATTCCTTTTCAGTGTTTCGTGGATCTCTTTTGTATTATGTAAATATTGAACATGGGCAACAGAATTCACTTACATGTGTGTCAGTCATTCAATGTAACGTTAATCTTATGTAGACATAATATATAGATTTTTCATTTTCATATAAGGCATATTATAATGGTTGTATGTGTGTAAAAGCATTCCAAAAACTTCACATTTAGATGGGACAGGAATTAAAATTTAAGTATGAAAAATATTTGTCATTAATTTGCTGTATCAGTAGGTTAATGATACTGGAAGTTTTGTGCTTTTCATTTGGAGCGTTTGTACCAAGAAAGCAATGAATGAAATGTAAGTGATGTAATGCGTATTAAATGTAATTATTCCTTTTAAAAAATATACCATTTTACTACACGAGAATTATGTAAAATACATTTGTAACCTTTACTGACTCATTGAATGAATCATCCAATTCATACACCTACTCGTGTAATTATCTAACTAGTCATAAATTATAATAAATATGAAATAAGTTCATGCTACGGTGGTATAGGGTAGAAAAGAATAATGCATATACGAAATTTTAGATTACTTTTATTGATTCTGCTGTTTTCTCTGGATGCATCTTAAAATGAACAGATTAGATGCACACGCACAGAGTAACGCTTCTCATTATCTTACACATTGTTGTCTGTAGTGCGAAATTAAATTACTGTTCACTGAACCTCGATGAACTTCACTGACATCATGATACTTTATTAATTATCTACAACGGGCCGAGAATAAGGGCGGGGGGCGGCCCATGTCTACGCGCCCCGCCATCGCCGTAATGATATTTCGTCGCGCGTCCTTCTCTCGTACAATTGTATTTATACGCTCATTTTTTTTTTGAGATAATTCTTTTCACTACTTAGTGTCCCAACCATCGTCTACTTAACCACATGTATTAAACATTTCATATACCCATCATGCTGTTAATTCTGTATCCTTAGTTCCACAGATATATTGTAAATATATCTTGTACCCTTCGCTTTTTATGAGAATGGAATATGAAAATAGCACATGTGAACCGCTGCAAGAAAATACTGAATCCGGCAATAAATTAAGCGAATTCTCTTCTACAATTGAGATACGTAGTCTGCCGAGTTTCATGCATTTCACAGGTTGTTAGCGAAACACCTCAGTCTGAATCGTTTCTGAATTTCTCGACAGCATGTATACTGTTTTCCAGTCTGGGATTCACTCGGTCTGATAACTGCTTTCAAATCGGATGGTGAGGGTAATAACGATGGTACTTTTGCAATTGTGATTGTGAAGGTAATGAGGTGATGTTCAATTTTGAGGTTTTAAAGGAGATTCTTAATTTCGTCATAAAGTACCAACACGAGCGCACCACCGGTACCACGGAGGACGTTGGAGAATGCTCCCTTGAAGAAGGCATTACCACCTTCCTGTCTGTAAATAGTTCCCCAGCAGTGAATGGTGCTCTTGTACAAAATTTCGGATTTGGCGCGGCCAGACTGCATCATCATACGCCTACGTACTGTGTCGAATGGATAGGATACAATACCGGCAACGGTGGTTACAGCCTGTACAGAGAATGATAATCATTAATAGGGAAACTATAATTATAAAACGAAATTAAAGATCGAAAAAATTATTTACCTGAGCAATACCCCATGAGACAAGGAATGGTGTCTTCTTAGGATCCGGCAGCATACCGCGGGCAGTGTCATAGAAACCAAAGTAGGCAGCACGGTAGATAATGATACCCTGGACGGATACACCGAATCCACGGTAGAGTCCACCAATACCGTCAGCCTTGAAGATTTTCGACAAGCAGTTACCAAGACCTGAGAATTCACGTTCACCTCCAGCTTTGCCTACATCAGCAGCCAACCTGTAAGCAATAATTGTATGTATTAACTCTCCGAGCAATTGAACATGAATTAAGTGAAAATTAAAATTTTCTTCCATTGAAATGTTCATGAGTACCTAGTTCTGGCAAAGTCAAGCGGGTAGACAAAGCAGAGAGAAGTGGCACCAGCAGCACCACCAGAGGCAAGGTTACCAACAAAGTAGCGCATAAACTGGGTGTTCTTGTCCACACCACCAAGGAAAATCTGTTTGTACTTGTCTTTGAAGGCAAAGTTCAAAGCCTGAGTTGGGAAGTATCTGATGACATTGGCGAAGTTACCACGCCAGTAGCTGAGGAATCCCTGTTCTTTTGGAATGCGCACAAAGCAATCTACCATACCTGAAATATAAAAGTTTATTTAGCTAAGTTCATGCATTTGTTAAAATAAATTTAATTTAATTGACAAATTAAATATACTACCATTATACTGCCAAAATGAAAAAAAATCAAAATACCGGAAAGTTTCATTCCAATGTTTCATAGCATTGCATTACTTAATAGCAAAATATTATGTAATAAATCAATAATGAATATACATTTTGTATAAAACTATCGATATTTCTAATTAAAAAGTTCACTTATCTTACAGTAAATGCTTTAATACGGAAGAGAAATACATGATTTAATTTGTTTACCTACACTATCACTTAACATCTCCAAGGTCAAAAGGTAAAGTTATTTAGGCATGCTTTAAAACTTATATGTAGGTTGCATGAATCAATGCTACATTATTAACAGATTGATCGCAATGTATGATTCGTTTCAGAGAAACCTATCACAAAATTTTTATCGAAATAATTGCGATATTGGATGTTCGGTAATACAATTCCATGCATAAGTCTTAACATCTTAATCCCGAACTTTCTGTCTCTTTTTGAAAGAAACAGTAATTATTTTTCATAGATATTTCTAATTTGCAGCTGATTGAATAGTTTCATAGGCATTTATTAAATTTTCCATTATGAAAAATTGCAAGCTCAATAATTCCACTTTGCAGTAGAAGTGGACGGCCATGTTGAGCCGCACAGTCATCGATCGGAGCAAACGGAATCCTGTTCAAAGAGCAAAGCCACGCGCTGCCATCTGGTAGACGAGTCGTCTTATCGAATATCGACCCACTCCGCGTTTGTCAGAAAACCACGACTTCCCATTCAATCGATATTGCAAAAGTTATGTAAGACCCAAAAGTTCCTCTTCGTTACATAAAGTAGAAAATTAGAGCGCTCGCGATGTACCCGGCGGATCGTTAACGATATATAGTACTAAATGGCATTACATAACGGGAATCTCGCTCTAATCATCGTGTTTGAATTTTAACAAAATCGGTTGGTAGTTTCAAAATGTGGACACGAGTGAAATGGATCAAACTGTCACATGTTCCGAATGTTCCCCGTTCTTCTACCGTTACGCATAGTGCCTCATGAGCCACGTTCTTCGAACGTCTCTCATGACTTGTGACTCGAACAATTTCAACTACTTCGTTGTACTTTCACCGAATTACCCGTAATTCTGTCATGGGAAACTCACCCTTGTAACGCTGGTCCTCAGGGATTTGCTTGGAGATGTGCTGTACCTGCAGCAACAGCTTTACACGCTCGATCGGGGCGACCGCCGTTTTCGAGATAGCGGCGGCCACACCGCCAGCCACGAAATCCTTGGCGAAGGCAACTGGATCCGCAAGACCAGACATTTTGTGTCGGGTGGTTTGGTGTGTGAGAGAAACGGGTTAACAAAAGGAAGAGGAGAGCAACTCCTACTTTTCGGACGCGCGCCGGACGACGAGTGAGCGAGGCAGAGTTCCTCTCGTTGAACGGACCTCCGCTAAGAATAGCTGCGCAGGTCACGTGCAAACTTCTGCGCAGGTTCAATCTTCTGGCACGACCGCACCTCGGGACCCTGACACTTCGTGCACTTCCAACGCGTACTCTGTTCCCGAATTCGTGACCTTTCTTCACGTGTCTTGCGACACTAAGCCTTCCTGCCTCTTTTCACGGTCGCCACGCGTGTATTGGCTTAAGAAAATGCGTTCACGGTCAAGCTGTTCAAAATTAGACGTTTACCCGCGCGTCGACGTACTTCCGGTACAAGCGCGCTGAATTGTCGCTAGCGTCAAGGTATTCGAAATATGAAGCGAATTGGCGGGAATTCGTACCAACCAGACGAACAGACGTCTTTTATTTTTTTTTAAATTTGTTACCTGCCAATTAGTCTCGTACTTTGCTATAGTGATTGAGTGAGTTCGAATAAAAATATTATTTATTTTACCAAAAATAGAAACATTTTATTTGTTTTGGACACTATTCGCTTTAATGTGCCACCCAAACCATGGGGACACCTGTTTTTTATTATTTTAGATTCTTTTTACTGTATAATTTATATAACCAACTGCTTTAACGGTCTGGTAGATTTTATTTCTATCAGGTTTCTCCTGATATATGTAACAGATTATTTAATGAATAATGGACTAAAACATATCCTTCGCTCTAAGAACGGACAGTAATAGTCCCATTTCGTAAAAAATGTTTTATATTCCATTGATTTTATGAATTCCAAGAAACAATGCCTTAGAAAAATCGTGTGGGTATTTGAAATACCCGCGTCATTCATCCATCTTTGTTCGTTTAAATTTACCATCGAAGTACCATTCATAGTTACCATGTGATTTTATGCAAAGTAACTATTTCCAAATTGGTTGTTTCCTTGATTCATTGTAAATATTCTCTAATCGCATGATTAAGAGCGAAATCATACTGTTTCAATGAAAATTATTTATACATCAAGGTAGTATACATATATGTAATATATTTCAAACAAAGCATAAGGTAAGAATCATTTTTGTATAATATTTGAAGTCAAGATCTCTTTTTGCAAACAAAGGGAGAGAAGCATTATGTCAAGGATGAGTGACGTAGCCGAGATTCATACAACTTAATATAATTGTATCCGATTTGAGGTGAACAGTACTATACATAGAATATGCCACCCTTCGTATCGATCGTATCGACATGAGTATTCCTGCACCTATACATAGACAGCATTGACCATAATCCATGGTCACGTACGATGCGTGCGTTAAACTTGCATATTCATTTACCCATATAGCTAACATTTTCCGCATTGTATTTAATCATCAGTTCGAACAGTCGCTTCAGGCACGCAGAATCGTGTATATTACACACGTCTCACGAAGCGATCGCCTTTGGGGTGGTTTCGAGTTTGCGCCGTTGAAGATACAAGTACGAGATACAAGGTCAATCTCTCGTGAAGAAGGAGGTCAACGGGGCGCGACTTGCGTAACCCTGGCGTACGGCCAGTATGTTAGGGAGCACAACGCCAGAGTTCAATGGAGTAACTTCAAGTAAGGTGTATTTATACATCTTGAAGATACGTACATTCGTAGCGGACCTTGTAAAGAATAGACTAACTCTAAATGTGTCCCCTGTCTGCATCGAGTATTTCTCTCGTGGCGCGTGCAACCATTTGTTACGAGAATCAATGAAATGTAAAATGGACCAGGCTCTGTGCACACTAAGCAAATGTTTATTACAATTGAAATACTTTTATCGTTACCGATCATCCTTCTTACTTCATTCCTTCTACTCCTATTATCGCATTATAATTACCACAAAATTGAAATGAAAATTGTAAAACCATTTTCTCTTTATACGTATATGTTTGAACAAGACGGTTCTTTTATGCACTGTGATTATACATCCTGTTTTCGATTGGATGTGTAAGTAGAGGTTAATAAGAAAGTGTACTAAAAAGCACCGAACACGATCGCTGCTAGTGACAATGATTCATATCACTATATGGTGTCAGTTACTCGAGTAGTGGACTCTGTAATATACCATAATACATGTTCTAGACGTTCTCGATAGATATCCTTATCTGCTTTCCATGTTATAAAATTTTTCAAATTTCATTGACCTTATTTTGTCATTATAATTCTATTTTGCTCTCGTTAATAAGCACCTCAGCTTCTAGATTGCACCAGGAAATTCCATGGCTATCTGAAAGAATTCATTATCTGTCTTCTGATAATGCTTACGCGAATATAATGGTCAGCAAATATAAAGTTGCCTGTTCTTAGCATTAGTTCTAGCACTCTGAACAATGTAATTATTTGTAACATAAAATTAAGTATGTCTTTTTTCTGCAACGTACAATATCTAAGAAATTATAACTCATTTCCTGGCTTTCAACCGGCATTACGTAACGCCCGCTACGCTATGATCTATAATACCAATTAGGAAGTTCGGGCGAGAACTGCGACATCTATTAAAATTAAATGAAGGAAACAAATCGACAGAATTCGTAAATTTTCTCATTACAACGGAAAAACCATTAGTGTTACATGTTTACGTCGTCGCGAGTAGCATTAGCATACCACCACGCATGATTAAATCGAATGTATTATATCGGACTTGCAACGTGGGACTTAACTGTATGGATTGGATTAAATAACGACCTTGGTGACGTAGGAGGTTGTCTGTGCTAGGCAGCAACTGGGATCATAATGGTGGTCAATGCACCTGAATGCAGTTCGAAGCAGTTTCATAGCTGATACAGATTCACAAAATATATGCATTTGATAGTTCAGAAAGGCAAGACATATAGTAAATTAATTAAAAATCCATTTACAGTAATTCTTGTCATTCATTGTACTCATCTTACGGAAACCACAAATATATGTAAACGGAAAATTACACATTTTCGCCCTTGCTATCGTTGAACAGCTGCATTATATAAAAATAAATGTGACGTTTGGCGTTTTCTATTGCTCAAGACACTAACTACATAAAATTTCATTTTTATATGCCTGTACACTCTAAATAAATCAGTGAGATTGAAAATTATTATACAACTATACAGACGAAGTCTTTATCGGCGATACAACGTTATTAACAGAAAATATTGATAAAACTGTTCATTCATTGCCACATATGATGGATTTCTTAATTTCTCAAATATTTGGTCACTTTTGCAAGGAAAGAAAATATATCCTCATATGACTCAAGTCGATCAACTCATAATTCCCAGTAGCTACAAAGTGCTTCATTGTCAGGGTCGCTCCACGCATCGGAAGCTACTAACGCCCCGTTCTATGGCTTCTATCGATAATATCTACAGTTGGTATAGTAGTATAGATTCAATGCCAATTGCTACGAAAATAGATTCAATCAAGAATTGGAGTTAAATTATATGTTTGATATCTATATTTCGTAATTTCTTTAAAGCACATTGGAGTTGGTAATGCCATTTGGCAGGAACATTAGGAACACATATTTGTAGTTAAAATGTATACCAGTTACGTAATTGTTGACATTTACAGCATCAAATGTAGTTAAAGAGTTAATAAATTTATGAAAACATAGAGAAATATGTATTGTAATGTATTTTAACGTTTTTAATGCATTAATGTAGACATTGTAGACCAAACACCCTCTGGTGGAACTATGTAAAGCATATTAAATTAAGGAACGTGTGGAATATGAAACTACAAGTGCACACACACGAAGCCGGACATTTATGAAACGTCAGACTTAGAACTGAATCGCTAATTTGTCGCATTTTACGGTAAATAACGTGTTTCTCATTATGAATTTTTGTTTATCTAACGGTTATCTATCGGTAGCGATAACACACGTTGCAGTGAAATTTTTTAGTCTATTCATCGTTCGTAGTGATATTACTTTGCGTCTCAGGTTATGGCTTTCCACAAACTATAATTTTTTGTTACGATTTAATTGAATAATATTTATATTTATTTGTAATCTGTCGCTATTCCGTATAAACAAGAAGATTAAGCGTTGTACGTTTGTAATAAATTTGTGACAATACGTGGAAATCATAACATTACTGTGTTACTTTCTAATAATAACAGCTTAAAGACATTATTGTTAATAATCACTGATGACCATCAGACATTGCAATAATCGACGTCAGAGAAACATTGAATGTACATATAGATTAGATTAAACGGCATTGTATATATACGCATTCTTCTTTATTTAATTGATTTTTGTTTTTTATTTCTAGAATTGGTAAATGTTAAAAGATGTGACTTACATAACATATTTTTTTTATTATTTTAGGATGCAAATACTGTTCTTGTACAACATGACATTACAATGTATTAATGCTGCCTGAGGAAAAGGCATATATAAACAATATGACTGAAGGTTAATAAATACATTTATTTATATCTATTGTTATTTTTAAGGATTATTATAATAAATTAATTATATATTTGAATATTTGCATTTACTAAAAGGACAAAGTACAATAAATTAAATGAATTTATTACAGGGGGAGAAACACAGCCAACCCCTGGAAATGAGGCACAACCAGGTATGTTTTGGTTTTCATAATTAATTGATACAAGTGACAGTTCTTTTCAAATTTCTGTATATTGAGAGTCTACTATCAAGCTTAATATAATTAAGTTAGTGTTCATTGTAGGCATCTGTTACGTTACAGAATGGGGCTTCATCTCTTAGTCTCTACCATCATGCAGAATCATTAGTGTTAGAAGTCAGAATATTCCTTTAGTAGTAGCTTTCCCACACAATCACATAAGTCACTTGTGTCTGAACTATACAGCTTTATACTTTCATTTAATGGTATTCAAAAGTACTATCAAAAGTTCTCAGTGTATAAACTTTATATTTTTGTCAGAAGCCTCTGAACCCAGAGCCATACATGGCGAAGGATTACATGAAACAACAGCAGAATCATCTTCTCAAAGTGTACCTGAACCGTGCCCAGATCTACTTACTGTTCATGGAACAACACAAGGAGAAAGTAGTGATGCTGTCAGCACTCATACAGCAAGTACTTCAGTTTCCGGCAATGGTAAACATGATTCACATAAGACACGTTAATGAAATAGAAAAGTGTGCTAAAGTTTAATGCATTTTAGAATCAAGTTCCAGTAGAGTGAGTGCAATAACTGTAGTGTTACCTTGGGGTGCCCAGAAGGAAACAGTAAAGCCACAACAAATGGCAGACATGGATCTAAGACCCGGAGAGTTTGTGATGCGTACCTTATTCGCTGAATTCACATCACAGGCAGAAAAAAAGATGGAAGCAGTCATGACAGAACATGTAAGTGACATATTTATTTATACAGTTGCTTGTTCCTAATAGGGAATGTTATACAGGAAAAACCACTATCGAAAGTTTTGCAAAGAGGAGAAGATCCACAGTTTGATCAACTTTTATCTGCATTCGGTTCAGTCGCAGAACACTGTTTGCCTTCTATCTTACGAGCACTGTTTAATTGGTATGAACGTCAGTTGGTTGATCAGGGTAGCGATCAGAAAAAACCTGCTCCTGGAAAAGAAGACCAGAAAGGAAAAAGGTAGAAGAATACTTTGATAAACTGTCAGACTAAGTGTTTTGATAATTTTGAAATGTGTATTGTATTTCAGCATCATGTACACAATAGTATCAGGAAGTGTAGAAACAGTTGAAAGAAGTGAAGCAGATTTACTTCAAGAACGAAGGGATCTTGCTGTTGAATTTATATTTTGTTTAATGTTAATAGAAGTACTGCGTCAATTACCATTTCACCCTGGTCACGAAGACCTAGTAACTTATATAGAGAATATAGCTTTTAAACATTTTAAATACAGAGAAGGGTAAGTAAAGACAAACTTTTATAGAAGATCTTTGTTAAAATATGAAAGTATTTTTCGTGTATGTACCTTTATATTTTGTGTTATAGTATTCAGAATGAACCAAATGCAGCAAACATTCATATTATTGCTGATCTTTACGCAGAAGTAATAGGAGTACTTGCACAATCCAGATTTCTCTCGGTTAGAAAACGTTTTATGATTGAATTGAAGGAACTACGGGCTAAAGAACCAGGACCTCATACAACACAGAGTATTATTTCATTGTTAATGGGAATGAAATTTTTCAGAGTAAAGGTAACTAAATGATAGCTGTTATTTTGTATTATGTTCTTCGAATGAATTATCTATATGTACAAATGTAATACATCTATTTACAGATGGTACCAATAGAAGAATTTGAGGCCTCGTTTCAATTTATGCAAGAGTGTGCACAGTACTTTTTAGAAGTGAAAGATAAGGATGTCAAACATGCTTTGGCTGGACTTTTCGTTGAGATTCTTGTTCCTGTAGCTGCTGTAAGTCCCCTATATTGTACAGTGCAATACACACGTATACATTATTCAAGTTTTTATTGATATATGCTTATTCGTATTTTAGGCCGTAAAAAATGAAGTTAATGTACCTTGCCTAAAAAATTTTGTAGAGATGTTATATTCTACGACGTTAGATATGTGTACTAAATCGAAACATAGACTAGCACTTTTTCCACTCGTGACTTGCTTACTGTGTGTGAGTCAAAAAACATTCTTCTTGCAAAATTGGCATTACTTCTTAGCAATGTGTCTTTCGCACTTGAAGAATCGGGATCCTAAAATGTGTCGTGTTGCATTAGGTATGATGTTTTACTTTAAGGAGGCTTAGTATATATAAAAGTGTTCTACATATTTGTATGTCTTTTAGAGGCGTTATACCGTTTACTGTGGGTGTACATGATACGCATTAAATGCGAAAGTAATTCAGCTACTCAAAGTAGACTGCAAAGCATAGTGAACTCCTTATTTCCCAAAGGTTCAAAAGCGGTAGTACCACGCGATACTCCATTGAATATTTTTGTAAAAATTATACAATTTATTGCACAGGAACGATTAGACTTTGCAATGCGAGAAATAGTATTCGATTTGTTATCAGTGGGTCGTCCAGTAAAAATAATTTTAACTCCTGAACGCATGAGTATTGGACTTCGTGCGTTTTTGGTTGTTGCTGATAGTTTGCAACAAAAAGAAGGAGAACCTCCCATGCCCAGAACAATGGGTGTTTTACCTAGTGGTAATACTATACGCGTGAAAAAGACATTTCTCAATAAAGTAAGTACAGCTAATAATTTTATTTACAGTCGAATGAATTAACGACGATATTCACCGGCGATTTAATTCTATGAAATTTAGATGCTAACAGAGGATACAGCAAGAAGTATAGGAATGTCTTCATATTTTCCACATGTCCGACGAGTATTTGTTGATATATTACGCGCTCTAGACGTTCATTATGGAAGACCTCTCATGATGACAAGTACTCAAAACATGAACAAAGAACCTGACGAAATGATCACTGGAGAACGAAAGCCTAGAATAGATCTTTTTCGAACATGCGTTGCCGCAGTTCCTCGTTTGATACCCGATGGAATGACTGGTGCTGAATTGGTTGATTTATTATCGCGTTTAACTGTTCACATGGACGAAGAGCTTCGTGGACTAGCGTATCAGAGTCTACAGACTCTAGTGTTAGACTTCCCTGACTGGAGGCAGGATGTTGTTCTTGGGTTCACTCAATTTCTCGCTAGAGATGTTCAGGATACTTTCCCGCAGCTTGTTGATAATGGTTTAAGAATGCTTCTACAACTTCTTACAAGTTGGAAGAATGCATTGACGAGTCCCAGTATAAGATCTAAGGAACAATCGGCAGATAGTACAAGAACAATTGCACGTACAGATGGCAGTATTAAAAAAAGTGAATCGGGACAAAAAATAGAGCCTGTCTCGAGTGTTTTTCATTTAGTGGAAGGGTTTGCATTAGTTATGCTATGTAACTGCCGACTTTATCCTCGGAGAATAGCTGTTCACATATTACGCGAGGTCAAGTATCTATTAAAGACTTTAGGTGAGTTTAGTTTCAAGGAGTCAGAGCTTAGTATAAAAATGCGAAATGCTAAAAGAAGTTGCTCATACATTTTAGGAGGCTTGGAAGATGATCAACCTGTAATTGATGTAATAGATGCTTGTTGTCCAGTGGTTTTGGAGAAATGCTATCATATGCTACCACCGGCAGAAAAGGCAGCTGCTGCGTCTACTTCTAACGTTGATCTTCAGTGGATAGCTGAAAGAAGCAGCTGTGTGTGGACAGCTGGTAATTTGTATATATTCTAACACATTCGATAAAAGTGCAAAATTTATTAATACGTAACGTCTTACAGGGCTTCACGATGACACCAGTACAAAGAGTTCTTCCTCTTTAAATTTAAATGGAGCAGACCCATGGGGAAGTTGTCTGTTTGCGTTTTTAGAAAAAGATAGAGTGCTCACGTTATGTCTTTCTGCTATAGCTCATTCATGGCCTATTGTTTTTACTCGAATAAACTCGCTCTTCTCAGTAATCGATCCTACGTAAGACTACATCAGAATTTTCAAAATAAACGAAACACTTATCTCTTTGTAACACTAAATTCATTTTAACTATTTTCAGACCTGTAAACGATAATAGAGCTTCTCTTTTGAGAAGTTCGACAGCAGTACGAAAGCCAGTCAATGAGAGGGACATGTACATGCACGTTTGGAAAAACTATTTAACGTTTGGATACAGAGTTGTGCCACCAGTTCCAAGTCCAATTGTACGGTGTGCTAGTCCAGATCTCAGTCTCAGGTAAGTTGACACTCAGTCATATTAACAGGAACACAGTAGCATCATGTCATATCATTATTACTTATTCCTTCAAGCAATTTTTATATAATTTTATCAGACTGTAAGAAATGAGTATACTGTTCGGTGGTGTATTAGTTATGTAGCTTCAGGATTATAATAATACTACTTGCACAAGTCGGCGATAGTCTTAAAGCTTATATCAAAGTATCAAGTTTACACTTTTTATCATTAGTGCTTTACGTGTATTCATAAAAAATGGATTAACAGGTGGAATTACTATTATTTAGTATTAATTGGTGTGGGGTCACGTCTGCTTATGTCTGTTGTATCCACGGAAATACTATACGGGTTCCAGTGTTCGTTCGTCCCTAATCCCAACAAGAAACGTCAACACTCTGTTCGATATAAAATGGATATTCCATCGTGATATGCATTTCCTCTTGTGGCACGCACGTGGCATTTGTACCTCGAATGTCTGATACGAGAATGTCTAATCTCAATATAATATCTTTCTTTGGTTGTTCTGCACATGGTGTCCGAGAATCTCTGTCATTGTAATAGCGAAGCGAGAGGTGTTGTATGAAAAAAGTGTGGGAGGGCGGGGAACACCAATATGTACTAAAACGCGCTTTGCATTTTTCGGGAGCGGGACTGAATTATCGCACAGTTTATTAAATATGCACACACTACGCTTCATTCCCTGTAACATTTTACTTCGCATGCTATACTTGGTCACTGTCTCTCTCGCGCACATGTCCATCTGGAACATAGAGTAGTAATTTTCTGAGCAGTAAATAATGTCTGATACAAGGAGCATTGGTGGTACACTGTATTGCATACTCTAGTGGTCAGCATACGGTGGAGTTTGGTGTGTTATGCATGAGTAAGGAGTTGAGTCAGAGCCTGGAGAATCTCGGCGGGGCACAGACCCTGCCGGGTCGGTTCTCCGTTCCGTCCATTTCCGGCATCTACACCAGGCATAAGCGGACCAGGTGAGCCTAATTAATCATTGCGAACGACCATGCTTCGAAGTCACCCGGGATTTAAAACGGTCGTTGGTAATTTTGCACTACTTCCGTAGCAAAAACTTTATTTATTCATATGTGTATTTTAGCTATGATCGAGCTCCTGTTTAACCACAATTCTTGTACATGTACACTTTTATTTTGTATCTTCCCTTGGCTAGCATTACGACCGTTCCCGACCGCTTTGTTCGGAAATTAAATTGTTTCGATCGCGCACGATTTGAGTGTCTTGTACCGTTTGTCCGTTAATCGTCAGGGCGTATATCACATGGTACATGAGAAAAATGTTGATTTCCTCGCAGCTCCTCGCCGGACAGCCTTTCCGCGGAACGAGGCGACAACAAGTCACCCGGTACAAACGCAAGCCCTGCAGCCTTATACAAATTGACAGTGCCTCTGTTAAGATGCGAGGTGGTTGACGTTAGGGATGCTGCTGTTCAAGCAATTGGCAAAGTCAACGCTGATGCTTTGAAGTAAGTAAATAGCTAACTCATTCAGCGTGGAATTTTATTAACGATGACTGTTATTTCTTAGAGATTTAATGGAGGAATTAGTCCCTTATATTCGTGAAGCGGTTGACCGAAAACAGGAAAATATGAGACGTCGTAGACGAAGGGATGCATTGAGGCTACAGTTAGTGAGAGTTCTAGAATTGATCGCTGAATATGGAACGTTTGGTATCTGGTTAGTGGTTAATCTTAATGACTGCTCTACCTAATTACAGTATAGAAGTGTAATATTACTTTTTTTTATATACTTTTTTAGCCCTGCAGTATTGGACCGCGAAACACAGTCGCTCCATCCAACATTCGTCGAGTATATTGACGGTGCACGCTTGTACTTGGAGAACGAGACAGATAAAGAGGCACCCGCTGTACGTGACATTAAGCTACACTTCTGTAACTTCATTCGAAAGATGATCAAGAGCTTTACATGTAAGTGAGTTATGCTCATGAAGAGTATTCATAAGATTATGAGGTGTGGACAAATAGTACGTAGAAATAATTCGTGAAGAAGCGGTGAGTGTGCCGGTGCATTGTCATGACGGAGCACACTGTGACAACGACTAGCGACAAATGTCTACGGAAATTATCATTGTACATACACAAACCACGTATCCCATGGTCGTGAAATTTCAACTGATTGTAGATAACACTATCAGTTAAACGGTCTAATAGTAGAAATTGCCTCAGCGTTGCCGATATAGGAGAACGAAAAACATTCTATGAACTTTGTGTCCATAGTAGTAGTCTCAAATAACATTTTTATTCGTGTTTCAGTGGAAACGTGTCATACGTTGTTAAAGAGAGATTTGAGACGGAACCTGTTTATGCTGTTTGCCAGTTGGGCAGGCTCCTACGGCCGTCCACTTACAAATACATCCTGGCTACATGAAGAAGAAAAATGTTACACAGAGTTACAACTTTCAGCACTACAAGCAATGAGTGGACTACTATGTTGCGGACCGTGTTTCAATCCTCAAACTCTTTCCGAAGAAGGGGCAATATTGTACCAGTGGTTGGATTTACTATTGGCCAGCAAGGATGAAAAAGTAAATAATTACTCACAATTCGTAACACATATTTGATGTATAGTTGTACATGGAAACATGATATATGTATATTACACGGCCTCACAAAATTTCTTAGATTTACGCCCTCGCCCGAGAAACCGTCGTTTTACTGTTGGAATGTAATCCGGATATTGGAACCCTACTGGATTGGGTAGTCGACAGATGCTACACTGGAGCTCCTCAAGTAGCTGACGGTTGTTTCCTCGCCTTGGCAACAATTTTTAGTGCAAGGTTAGCGACATGACAGACAGTTTTTTATATAATACTACAGCACTTTCCAAGACGTCTGAATACTTTTAATTACAAAGAGTTTATTTCAATGTGAAATTATACGTGAATACAAAAGAGTTTACCGTCTCTTTCATACATAATACAAGTTATTTTTAATGTTCCTTTCCGTGTTACAGAGAATATCCTTGTGATCATTACACAAGCATCATCAACGTTACCCTGATGAGTACAGGTTGTCCCCGTGCTCCTGTCCACGACGCAGCTCTTCAACTTCTTCAGTTGTTAGATCAACGATTTTTCGGAAACGTGGGTCCTTTACCGACTACAGAACCGGAGACCGGTAAGATAATAAAATTTAATCCTCTCACTCTGAAAAACCACTATTTCTGAATCAACAAAACACGCTGACTTCCGGCAAACAGAGAACACTATTTCATTGGGAGATAACATTCAGTTCATGATACTCTTCCCACGGTTCCGTGAACACGATCGCACCTCGACGCGCCGATGTGCTACCTGGTCGCCCGTGTTTCGATGCTGGGGGACATTCATCATTTTTAAAACCCTGTCTAACTCGGTCTATAAAGGAAATGGTGATTAGTTTCACGTACCATTCTGCGTTCCATGACTAGACGTGCGTGTCATAGTGACGGTCCTCCTGCGAAATCGTTTCAGAAACATGCACCGTATGGCTTTTCGAAAATTCTGTCCCGTGGCGCAGTACAGAATGAAGTTGATACCGAAGTTGGTGTTGAACAACAAATTGCAAATTTGCTGCGCTAGTTCCACTGAACGGGGTGCACTTACCTCCTCCTGAAACTATATTTTTATATTCGGTATATTCTAATTTACGAAAATTACGCACACTTAAAAATATAGTACAACTTTCGTCTAATACAATTTTTTTTGTAACATTCACGACAAATTTCGAAATTCCGCGGTGACACGCGTGACACCCGGTATAGCTTCAGTATTAACCCTCTGCACTCCAAGTGTATCAAGGACACAAACAGCGGCTAACCTTTAGTAAATATACCACTACTCAAATTAAATTTTAGAAAACACTATTATATTAAGCCAGTATAAATAATCGATAGACTGCGAATAATTATGCAAATACGAGTTTGTACAAACCGATTTGCAGAGATTGGAAGCAAACAGAAACTTGTTTACCCTATTAAGAATTCCATCAGATCCCACTGAACTTTATTAATCTAGTTACCATACTGAATTTTAAACAATTCGTTTAAATTATAAATGCATCAAATTTTTAATTCGCACAAATTAATAATCAACAGGCTATTATCACAATAGTAATGATTCTACAATTTTCTCTGACAATACGTTCAAATTATCAAACCGGTCTCTCCTATTACCGACCACTGGTCTACAAATAGATCCGATGGAGTGTAAAGGGTTGACACTTGAAATAACTGGTCCCGCTCGTGTGCATCGTTGCCATAAAGCCACATACATGTAAAAACGCGTGGATCCTGAGGACGTACGCGGGCAAGTTGAAGCACAGGAATACACTAGACACGACCAGCAGCATCTTGGTGATTTTTGTCTGCGCCCGATTGCTTCGTATGCTCGGATAAGGGGGTTTCCTCTCCATCACTATACGGGGCTCGTTGGTCAGCGATTTTCTAATTTTAATATGCCTATAGATAGCACGGGCGATCAGCATGTTCAGGATGATGATCACGGTGAACGGTATCGCGAACGTCAGTACCGTGTCGATGACGTTGTAAACAGTCGCCCAAGACTCCAGTCCTTCGGCCAGGTGGCCGCACTCTGTAACGTTCCCTGTTTCATTGTATTGGACACGGGGCGCAGAGAACCAAAGCACTGGGCTGCACAATATCATCGCAAGTCCGGTCATCGTGGCGACCATTGTTTTTGCCCTGGCGACCGTGCACATCGACTGTCGGTAAAGCGGATACTGCACCGCTATGAATCTCTCTATGGTAAACGCCACCACTAGCCAGACGCTCATGAAGCTGCATAGGGTCGTTAGATATATGAAAAACTGACAGAAACCCGGCCGATTGAACAGGCCCACCTCGAGCATATTCAGCCAGACCACGAACACTGATACGAGAAAACCGGTATCGCTAATGGCCAACGCGCCCAGGTAAACGCTTGACGAATACTGGCAGAGTTTCGTGCCGAAAAACACGATCACCGACAGACAGTTCCCCAACGAGCCGAGATAGACAAGGATCGGCGTGTAATAGAACTGCAGACCCCGGAACACGTTCTCGATCAGCTCGAGCCCCGCCACAGCGTCCGTTTGCCCCTGCTGGACCATTTTACGTTTAACGGTCAACGTTACAAGACGAGATCCCCCCGCGAGGATCCGGCGCCCCGTGCGGTGGTGCACGTTTTCCGATGACGCGCGCGGCGTTCAAAAATATTTGATGTTTTCGTTCATCAACTGACATCCCGTAAATAGAAATACATCTTCGGGGAATTTATATCTTCCACGTGGAGCATCGTTCGGGCACGTGGTTCTCGGGCCGCCGCGGGGTCGATCGGGCTCTAGGGATCAAAGAAGGTCTCGTGGTGCTCCGAGTACGGTAACAACGCAGTTATCATTTTTGCGTTGCATTCTTCAGACTGTACTCTTTCATCACGTCTTTCTGAAGTCTTTTGGGGTTCTGTTTTTTCGTTTTAGCGACACAATGGAGTTTCGGTAGAGCACATATTATCACGAATTGAATAAGAGGCACGAAGAACGATTATGTATGAAATACACGTTGTGTTTTCTGTATACCATTTTGGATAGATGATTTTTGTTGTATTCTCTTCTGTTTATCGTAATCATTCACCAGTATTTTGACTTCACTGTGTACTTTGTACATTGTTTTTTCGTTTTGTTTGAGATAGGTAGACTTGTTTGTCACGTTAAGCGATTTATTCATAAAGTTATCCGATTCCCCATTTGCAGATAGAAGTGGTCGAAGTTTTGTTTACAGTTCTATGAAAAATCACTTTGGACTGTTGCCAAGTTCCCCTGACGTCTTCGGGGGTTGTCGAAGAAGTCGTCTGTCTTCTATTAATCCGTGAGGCGCGCTTTCGTCGACGTAAAATTCCAACTTGAAAAATCCTCTAGTACTTATCATCACCGAAAACATCATACAATTTTCAAGATTGACCATTTTTTTATGTAATTTTCCAAGCACGTAAGAGTATTCAATTCATTATAATGGTTTAAATAATTATTTTTAAATTTTCACTCGTTGATATTCGAAGGCTAGAATTATTCAGGCAAACAACTCGTTTATATAAAAGAAAAAATAATAAAAAAGAAGTACTTTTAAATGGTTTTTTGGATTTATGTTAATTTCTTTTAAGTATTTGTAGTTCTTGTTGGCGATGATCACCGATTTAAAATTGTTTGGATTAAGCTGTTATTTATTGAAAAAAGAACAAAGTTTGGGTAATACACGAGGAAGTTGACCAGTGTACACCGGGATGCCGTCTCGACTATTTCTGCATGGTGCATCGGTTACCGTTCCTGATAAAGTACGATGCAACTAGCTTCTGCGCACCAAGGCAATGCACGAATTTCCCGTTGGTTGCGTGAAGCTCCAGGAAAAGAGATAAAAATGAATTTTCGTCACGTTCACTGTATACAATTCATTTGGCGACACAATATTGGAGACCAATTAATCTTGTATTGGATATTAATTCTTGTTTCTAACATCTAGATCATTCTGAAATAGATTTTTCCTATCAGATAATCAAAGTTACTTGGATTAAAATTAATTCGAAACAATTATTGAAGTAATGGAGTACCTTATTTTTACCAGATGTTATTTTCAAATACATAATTGTGTGTTCACTTATTCGACAAAGTTAAAGATCATCTTCTAATTTATGTTTTCATTTATTCGTGAACGCAACTGTCTTTTAAATTATTTCTTTAATATCATACATTTCATAATAGAACTATACCTGCGTAGTTTATTAATCCTTAACGAATGAAAAAACGCTCTAGGTGATCATCATACATTTGCCTTAGTGGGCTTTCGTTCGTTAAGATTTAGTACTAAATTTTCAACTGTTTTATTGACATTTTTTTATACGATCGGAATATAAATGGGACAAATACATGTTTCAGCATGTTTATTTTTGCAAGTAGAAAAAGATAATTATGAAAATTATGATCTATTAGAAATGTGGATTTTATACATTGTATGTATATACAAATACGCAAGAGAAAAATGAAAACCACGACTCAGTAACGTTATCTCCTCATTTTTAGTTTAATGATACATTTAATATAAGAACCGAATACGGTTTAATTCAATGCAGCTTATTCAGTCCCCATAATGATTCTCTCTCATAGCCTCATTCAGCAAAATGCATACAAATCGTTCTGAAATCTAATTTCATGAAATTAAACGTTCGTTATTTAGTTATGATTCAAGCGAATTTCCTGCAAATTTTGTTTGAACAATATAAAATTTTCATCCAATAACTTAAATAATATTTTTGAACGCTTCGCAAGAATCACATTACTAATTACGAAAACACGTGCAAATTTTCATAGACTAATTTGAAGTAGAAATTTAAACGAAATTTATCTCGTATTATTATATATTTATACTCAAATATTTACTTCACTGTGTCTACGCATTACGATATTTTATAAATGCATAAAATCGGAAGTCTGGTAATTGCGTTCCTAATTACGTAGTTCCTAGCGTGTTTCAATCAACTTCTACAATAGCTTCGCAATCGAGCTTCTCAGAAGCCAAACTGATCGACTCGATGAAATGAAAATTAAAAAAAAGATAGATGGTATTACATACATTACCGTGTTTAATTTGAAATGTATGAATGCACAAAAATATTTGGTAATGAATTATTTAATAAATATTGTACAGCTCAGGAGACCATCCGTTTTATTTGTACATTGTCGATTCGTTACGTTTAAAGTATAATTTAGATAATTTAATTAGAAAAAAAGTTAATATTGCAAATGTATACCAAAAGTTAAACGAAAATAATAAAAAGGTTGACGCTTGGAGTATCAGAAGAAGGTTTAATAAACTAAATAAAAAAATAATAAATATTTTAATTTTACTCCATTTGAACCTATTATACAAACGTTATTTTTATAATATACAACTGTGCGATGTGACTAACTCTTTTACTTATTATTAATCCATCAAAGTGGAATCAAGTGTCCAAGACGTTGTAATACTCAAATAGGGTTGATCGGTTTGGCTTCTGGGGGACTCAATTAGCGTTGAGCAATATTGGCGACGTTTGGCGAATACAATTTCCACCGTTTCTTGTTTCAGGTCAAGATGAACTCGTTGCCGGCTCATCAACTACCGTCACTTCCGCGCCAGGACAACCGAGTAATCCTATCGGCGGATTATCTTCGAGTGGCATTATTAGGGGTGGCACCCTGGACGTGCTTTTGTCGACCACTTATTGTCGCAATCAGATGTATCTGTCGCGCCAGCTCGCTCAACTACATCCGGAACTCACGATGCCCATGTTCAGCGGTGAGTTTCTTATTCCGCATTTACTGAAAACGTTTTTAATTAAAACGTATAAGAAAGTCGAAGCTGGAGATCTAATAAGAATCATGTGTTGTATGATTAGTATGTTTCTTTATACAAAAACATGGTTTGTTAATAAATATCTATTGATAGACATACTTGATATGTTATAATTAATATTTATTAATGAACATAATGTTATGAATTAGTGATGTTGTGAATACTACAAGGATGAGTAGAAATCTATAACTATACTATGCTACGGGGAACATTAGACAACTCGAACCTTTTGCTAGCAGTCAGCTAGAAATAATTCATCCATTTATAACTCAACCTAATATCTCTTTCTCCAGTTTACTTTGTGTGTTTGCATAGAAAATATGTGTTGTCGATCTCAAACACAATTCCTAATGAATGGTGACAAATGATGCTATCGAACAGAGTTTGACCTTGTACGTACAGAAGGAGGTTCCTCGATTTAATTACTTAACCACACATTCAAATTCGACGAAAGATAAAATTTAAAAGCTGCACCTGCCATACCTTATTGAATTTGACAAAACGATCGAAATTTAATTAACCCGCTCACTGCATCGTTTTGGTAGCTGTACAAACATTTTTTTTTCGTAAAATCAAAAATCAATCCATAGTCATCTTAAGATTGTTTAAAACATTTTTAGAAATATTTTTTTTATAAACAATGTGTTTGCTCAAATTAACTAACGAACAGTAGTAGCCACAGTAACACCGTTTTTCTAATGCTTGGATGTCAGTTAAAGAAGTTTCGTAGTGCCGATCGTCAAAGAATGTTCCAGACAGATATTGTCACTTGTCACTAAAGTAATAAGTAAGCAACTTCTGTAGTGGACAGATGCATTTAGCGGGTTAAACGATTAAAAAATCAATTAAGATACCGAAAATGATTTTTTATAGTATTGTATTCACAGTTATTTTATTATTGTCTGAGACCAACAATTAAAAGTTAGTATATATATATCACTATATCAGCAATAATTAATGTTCATATGAAAGGACAAAATGTTCGCAAATGTATACACACGCGGAAGCGAGTGGTCCATTTAAACTCCGACCCAAATACCAATGACGTTGCCGAGTGGAAATAATACTAATAATTCACTAAGAAAATTACCAACAAATGCGCGGGCCCGACCGCCTATTATATACATCGCTTATGTTTTCAGAAATTACGCACAGGTTTCAAACAGCCAGACGAGAGGTACGGCAGCTGTTACTCCAATATTTGTTACCGTGGCTGCACAACATGGAACTGGTTGACCCTAATGTACCGCCGCCATCCAATCCATTGAGCTATTACCAGGTAATACATTCCAGAATGTACAATAAATTTGTAACGCGATCCAATTAATATTTGGATTTCGATTAAGCACAGTATCGATCGGAGACGTGATTAATCTTGTTGTAAAACTGCCACGACATTTCGATTGGGTATTGTAGGTTTGTCACATGTGATATACAATTAATTAAGAGTAATTTAGGTGTTTGTTATTATTAAAAAAGAAAAAAGATATTTGGAGGCGCCGGGCATCGATCCCGGTACCTCTCGCATGCTAAGCGAGCGCTCTACCATCTGAGCTACGCCCCCCACGATCTGATTTAATTCAGGTGCCATTATTGCCGTTCTGCGTGATCTACTTTTGGTGAAAGGATCAGAAACGTTTTGTTGTTTTTGGAGGCGCCTGGTATCGATCCTGGTATATTTCTCGCATGCTGAGCGACCACGCTACCATCTGACCTCCTTCCCCTCTGATTTGTTTTGCTCCAAGTACCATTTCGGATTTTCGTTATGAACACCACTTTTGCTGACAAGATCGAAAGGATTTTAGAACAGTCGGGTACCAATCTTGTTTCCACCTTTTAAGTTCTGATCTGATTTGAAGAGTGTACCATTTTTTGGACTTATACAATTTGGATACCATTTTAAGTTCTGACCTTATCGGTTTCAGGTGCCATTCTGAGTTTTGATAGAATTTTATATACATAGGTAGCATTTCTAGTCCCAATGTGATTTGATTCGAGAACCATGTTGGAAATTGATATGGAATATTGTTTCGGAATTATCTTAATGGTTTTCTGATTTACTTTCGGTACCATTTTACATTTTTTATTCGATCGACTTTTGGTGAAAGGATAAAAAAAAATATTTTTGGAGGCGCCGGGCATCGATCCCGGTACCTCTCGCATGCTAAGCGAGCGCTCTACCATCTGAGCTACGCCCCCCTTGATTTCATTTAATTCAAGTATCATTTCCAATCGTCAATAACGATATACTTTTAACGAAGGATCTAATGGCGTAGTTGGAAATGACATTCTATAACTCTGTAAACCTTTGTATGCCACTTGCGTGCTACTTGTACCTAATTTGTATTCTGATCAGATGTTATTCGTCTTTTATTAAATCTTCCTTCGTACATCTTTTCACAAAACAAATTACTTTATCCCTTGTGTAAGACTCGCTGGAATCTTCAAGGGGTAAACGGGTTCTCTCGTTCACATGTTTTGTGTATTATTACGAATTTTACATACTCTTTAGTAAATTATCTTATTGTCCTGTAACATATTCATAAATTTTGTAACAATGATGAGGAGAGTATCTAAAATTGATATCCCTTTTGTAATAATGTTAGTATTATACCTAACCCTCGAATGATAAATTGGGTTTTAAGGTTGTACTTGGTAAAGTGGGGTCGCATCTGACCCGAGCTCTTTTTTGCTATTTTTAAATGGGTAAAAGAAGTTATTACCTTGAACTTGTATTTTTGTTTATTTAAATAATAAGGAATAATAATTGATTTATATAACATAGAATAATTAAGTAGTAAACGTTTACTAAATAATATAAAATATATTAAAACGAGAATAATGAAAGAAATCATCTATGTAAAGTAGAATGGGGAGTGTACAAGAAGAACTCTAACTTGGGTCGGATACGACCCGGACCTTACAATTAGATGATTAACATACTATGTCAATATTTTGATATCATCGATGTTTTGTAAAGATTATACGATGGTCATTACTTCTGTATTAACACCATATCCATTGCAATCTTTAGAAGATTGCAAGCTCGTATTAACAAATAAAGAAATTACCAGAATGGAACCCCTAAGTAGACCTACTTCTGCCCACACTTGATTTCTTAAATGTATGTAATTGCTTTAATTTTCCATTTACTTATAAAACAGGAACATTATTTAAATTGAAAAAATACATAATAAAAATAAGAAAAATATCAAAACAAAGCAATCTAACAATGGAACTCTGATACTCAGTACATACCAACGAAAAATATTCTCAAATAACTTTTTGGTATCTCAGATTATGTTATAATAATTTGTATACTCAAACACTATCCACAATATAAGTAAGCTTTTAAATAATGCCATTTTGACTAAATATTTGAACTGAATCTTCAGTATAGCCACCGTGTTTGAACATATCTGTAAATGTATCTCTCAACTCAATGGCGAAAGGAGATTTTAGATTACAATTTTTTTTCTGTATGACATATATTGTTTTTTTCGTTAAGTTGTAGCCTGGCCGGATGTTTTTTAAATAGTTGACTGGAAATTAAAAACAAAATTTTTTGCGAAAAAAATTATCTTGGAGGCGCCGGGCATCGATCCCGGTACCTCTCGCATGCTAAGCGAGCGCTCTACCATCTGAGCTACGCCCCCATCGATCTGATTTAATGTAGGCGTCATTTTGATCGTTCGATGTGATCTACTTTTGGTGAAAGGATCAAAAAAAATTTTCTTTGGAGGCGCCGGACATCGATCCCGGTACCTCTGACATGTTAAGCGAGCGCTCTACCATCTGAGCTACTCCCCCTGTGATTTACAGTGCTTTAATCCAAGTACCAGTTTTTACTGACCATATGTTCCACTTTTAACTTTGTTTTTCATCATTTATTGTCCTGTGTTTCGGTGACTTAAACACTTGGTGTATATTGAAATGAAAACGTCTGTGATATTTTTAGAGTAGTCGGAAATAAGTTCCCCTTTCTCTTTGTAAATTTATATCAGTACAAGCCACTGTATAATTAACATTAATTTATTACATGTTCTCAGTTAGTATTAATCTTAGTAATTTATTTTCAATTAATATTAATTTAATTTTCACCGCGGAAGTTACATTAAGTAGATTAAATTTTAATGTAATTAAGGTGATTGATTAATTAACTTGCATTTCTAAATGAGGATGTTCTTTTAAAAATTTTTTAAATGTTTATATCCGAAAGATGTAATACTCTCTTCTGCAATGTCGTATCAATTTAGAATAAGAAAATATGACGAAAAAATCGAAAGATTTTTTTTAGAATTCAGAGACACCAGAATGTTTGTTTTAATTCTGAATACTTTCACTTGAATATACTATAACAGGCAAGGAAATGTTTTTATACTTAATATTAGAATATTTGTTTGAGAATTATTATGTTACCGATTATATTTAATATTAAAATATTTGAACAGTACTATGCCACCGACATGTCACGCGGCGGAGCAAGGAGAGAAGGTTGGGGTAGCGCTGAAGCAACGGAAATGGTCCTGAACAATTTGTTTTACATAACTGCTAAGGTATTGTAAATAGTGTGAAAAGTTATCGAATAATACTTAAACTAAAGAAACTTTCTTATAATGAATTTTTATATAATCTAGTTCTCAGATGAACATCCTAAGGAAACTGAAGAACTTTGGGCAACTCTGTGCGGTTGTTGGCCTAACAATCTGAAAGTAATTATTCGTTACTTGATCATCGTGTCGGGCATGGCACCACAAGAATTACTTCCATACGTAAGTTATCTTCTACCGTTAACATTAAATTTTAACTACTCCACAAAAATAAATTGAGGTCATTAACACCTTCTGCACTGATCATGAGGAATTTTATATTCTGATCTATAATTATATTCAAATGAATAAGATACCATAATTATATTCTAGTAGCCAAATTGTAGTAGAATAATCCATCTATAATTCTTCCTATTTTTTTTCTTCTATATAAATATTAATCAAGTCATTTTTTCATCGAAATGCATGTGATTACCAATAGAATAGGAATAGAATTTGGACAATATTAACACAATCAGTCAATAGTATGTAAATTATAAAATATCAATAATTTCAGTAATTAATTACCGTTGTTAATAATCAGTCTTTATGTTTCAGGCGAAACGGGTTGTCCTGTATTTAGCCAGAGCTCGTCCAGACCGTTTGGTGGACGAAATGATGACCGAGTTACAAACAGTCGAGACGCTTAACTGTTTAATAGAAAGGACCGAAACTCCACCGTTTTATAGATTGACCAGCATGAGAAAAGCTTCTTCTCATAGCGACGCTCCGGCCGCTGACCCTGGTAATCCTCCTCGCGACTTAGGGGTCGAGAAAGGTACCATTCATACGAAAAGGCACTCTGGAGAGGATCCAGTTAAAACTGGGTAAGCTTCGCGTAAATTCCTATGAAACTTTCGTTTATTAACTTAATGTATTGACCAATTCACTATCTACAGGTCAAAATCTGATACAGCGTTACGGGCGCTCGCTGGATTTCAAACCCCAAGGGTCGAAAAAACAAGGACTGCGAGCGGTCCGCCGGTTCTTCCTGATGATCTGTCCACTCCTACGACAGAAGCGGAGGTAATGTGACATGCAATGAGGGACAAAAGTATTCATGCATTTTGTATTATTTTTGTAGATATACAGACTGTTTTGCTTAAAAGAGGCAATCTAAATATCTTCTCCATCTGTGATCACACGAGAAATATAATTTACGTAATTTAAATAGTTTCAAGAGACGAATCATATGGCGGAAAAAATTATATAAGTAAATTAAACATTTTTAGAGTTCAAGGACTTTTCACGGTCATACTATTATAAATGGATAAATGCAAAATAATTTTGGCTATAACATACAACAGGAACAATTATGTGCATATACGTAAAAAAACATGGGTGACCATGAAAAAACCATTAAAAAATGACACAAAAAAATGTTGCCGCTATCCAATTTGTCTCTTGAAACCATTTACATTACATAAAAAATATTTCTCGTAATATCGCAGATAGAGAAGATATTTAGGTGGCCTGTTTTAATCGGAACACCCTGTATATTTTCATAATTTCATTATACGAATAGTTCTGTGCTTTATTGTGCGTAAGCAATAAAGCCATATAATAACAATACTGATAATAATATTGGTAGATCAACAATGGATGTATCTATAAGGCTTTAGAGACTCTACTATAAGTATACTTGAGATCGTTAACACGAAGTATCCTGTTGATGTTTACGCTAAACCATATAGGTTAATGTTCTGAAAATCTGTGTTACCAACGATGTTTGATTTTAGTTGACTACCGACGAGTCCTGTTATGGAACACGGAACGGTCCCGCAGGAGTAAACGGGAAAATTTCCTGCGGCGGAGAGAAGTTCGATATTATTCCTCAACCACATCCTTTACCGATGCCTGAATATGGTGGATACTTTGCTCCATTAACGGAGTATCTGCCAGATAGTTCACAGCCAATAAGTGGTTTTCATAGGTAATATAATATGTAGGTCTGAAATATTAGGTGTACCAAAAACTGATTCGCTACTTTTCCAATCTATCGTCAGCATTATTCGAGTTCAAAATAAATAGCTCCTTCACATATTTTTGATACAAAGTGGCGTACATTCTTGGAGAAAAAATGTGGAAAGTTTGAAAGTAGCACAGATTATTGATTCCATTAAAGGGAAATATTAATTTAGCAGAAAACAGTAAATTACTTACGGGTACACCTAATAATACCAGAAATCCTATTAATCCAATATATTATATTTCAGGTGTAACATCGCCGTGATGCTGCTCACTGATGTCGTCATTGACGGCATACAACTTGACTGGGCTATTCATGTACCCTTAATGTTGCATATAGTTTTCCTTGGGTTGGATCATTCGAGGCCTCTAGTGCGAGATCACTGTCGTTGCCTCTTGTTGAATTTATTAGTTGTTCTCGGAGATCACCGGGATCATTTGGGCGTAGCGCGGGTATTATTGGCTTCGAAGACTGAACAGTTGGGTTTAGGTCTCTCTACTCCGGCTTTGCCAGTGCTGGAGCATAACTTCACCGAAGTTGATCCGGAATTTGATAGTTATCTTTATGGTCCTCCAACGGTGCCACCACCGACAACGCCTCCTCCATCATCTTCACCACCACCGCCTTCTTCCTCTCCTCCTCCTCCACCCCCGCCTCCACCGCCACCTCCTCCACCACCTCCGCTACCAGAATCCTCTATATTTACTTCTGCACCACCACCACCGCCTCCTCCTCCTCCACCACCATTTCCACCTTCTAATAGCGCAACGCCCACCCATTCACCAATTCCTAATTCGACGTCTACTCCACCAATATCGATGAACCATGTGACCCAGTCAGGCATAGATAATTGTAAAGATAATGGAAGTTCTCATCTATACGGTAAGCGTCTAAACTATATTTTTATCCTATACAATGTGCAAACACGAAGATAATAATGTTATTGTTTCAGAATCATCAGTCTGTAACAACTGGACAGCAGCGGCAGGGTCGACAAATACAGTACCGCCTGTCATAGTTACGCCGGAGGATGCTAATAATTGGGTTGGACCGCAGCCTGGTCCTAACATGCCGATCCAAGATGTGATCAAATCTTTAATAAACTTCCTTGCGTCTAGGTATATGTTCGGAATTAACGTATCGATCGTTCTACTAATCTCCATAAGATTTTCTATAGAGTAAAACTTCTTCCTATCACAGAATAAACCAGCCATTATGGAACTACGAAGATATGACTGCCAAAGTATGGTGGGTTCGCAGTGCAGAACAGCTAACAGTATTATTGCGACACGTGTTAAGAGTCTTTAGAGATTCATTGCCACATGCTCTAGTCAGCCAGCGATGGGCACAAACCGCGTTGCAATTAGGTCTGTCGTGTTCATCTAGACATTATGCAGGAAGGTCTCTTCAAGTGTTCAGAGCGTTACGTGTTCCTATTACATCTCGGATGTTGTCGGATATATTATCTAGACTAGTTGAAACAGTCGCCGAACAAGGGGAGGACATGCAGGTACAGTTTTTTTGTCCTTTATATATTTTACTTTCCTGTTTGGTTTCAATTTTAACCTTTTTTTAATACTTCCTCAGGGCTACGTAACAGAATTGTTGTTAACACTCGAAGCTGCCGTCGATTCTTTGGAATCAGATTTCCGACCTTTAGATTTTATGAAAGAAATATTCAAATCTACTCCAAACCTGAATAATAAGGATCCAGCATCAGGTGGTTTGATTGGTGGAAAGCGGAGTCCTGGAGGAGGAAATGGATATCCAGCTGGTCCTCATATGTTTTCCCATCTGAATCAAGGTGGCCACACAAGGAGCACCAGTTATTCAGTTAGTTACTGTATGAAAAAGTCAAGTGGTGGTACTGTGGCACCCAGCGAAATAAAAGGTCTGTAATACTTACAGGACTTCTTGGAGATTTTCTTTAGAGTTCAAAAGTCGTAGAAGACATTACTTTATTATGTACCGCTTGGACTATTGTATATCATATAATCTTAATATTTGTTACAGAATTGGATAACAGATGTAACAAATATCCAAACTCTAACCTATCCCGGTCAAGATCAGCACAGTCGTTGAAGCTGTTGGGTGACTCGGCAACGCAGGACGACAAAATGACAATTCTGGCGCAGCTATTTTGGCTATCCGTGTCTCTACTTGAATCTGACTACGAACACGAATTCCTTTTAGCACTGAGGTTGCTCAGTCGTGTACTCCACAGACTACCATTGGATCGACCAGATGCCAGGGACAAAGTGGAGAAATTGCAACAGCAATTGAGATGGAACTCATTTCCCGGTGTACATGCACTGTTATTGAAAGGGTGTACCAGTCCAAATACGTATGAACCAGTGGTAACATTGTTGTCGCAGTTCACTCCTTTATTGGACTTGCCGGTTGTTGATCCCACTCAGAGTCTCGCGTTCCCAATGAACGTTGTGTCATTGCTTCCCTACATGCTTTTGAATTACGAGGACGCTAATGAATTGTGTATCAGGAGCGCGGAGAACATTGCACAAGTAACTATGATATTTCAGCCGCATCAGATTGTCAATAATTACATTATTACAATTCCTTTCGTATTAATTTACAATGTACCTTTTAACAGGTGAGTGCTGAAAAGGGAAAGAAATTGGAGAACTTGGGCACCGTTATGACATTATACAGTCGACGTACGTTTAGCAAGGAAAGTTTCCAGTGGACAAAGTGCGTTGTCAAGTACCTTTACGACACATATGCCCATCTCAGTTTCAATATGCTTGCGTTCTTGGTGGAAGTGCTCGAAAAAGGTTCAGGAAGCGTTGCGTTACCTGTGCTTAGTATTATACATTGTATGCTGCATTACGTTGATTTAGCTTCGCAAGCTGCGCAACCAATCAATACAGAGCTTCTCAGAGTGATTTCGAAATATGTTGAGGTATGACTGATGGTTTCATTTAAAGAATAGTGATTGCATTCCCAGTATTCCCTCGTTGTAAATCCAGTTTTTCGATGATGTCTAGAAGTTTCTGATCAAAATCATCTGTCGTATGTTTACTTGAGGGTATATACCGCATTTGCTAATATTCTGTGCCAGTAGTTGATGTGTCATAATATGATTCTAGGGACCACATTGGAAAGAAGCCCTTAAAATATTGAAACTGGTAGTCACGAGATCGTCAACTTTAGTAGCACCACCTACTTCAGTCCATGGCTCGTCCTGGGAATCGTCTTTAGCATCTCCGCATCCGAGCTTCACCGATACCGAGATATTTACCAAGAAAGAGCTGCCCGGTAAAATGATGCTTCTTAAAAATTATATTTTGCATGAATATAAATTATTTTCAATTATTAAGTTCTATTTTTCCTCTTGCAATGCGGATCACGTTCACTGCATGGATCGCTTATCCAATGATGCACAGGTTGCGATAAGAATAATAATAAGAAAAAGTTGTAAAATATCCCGAAAATACAGTTATTTTTTTAATCAAAATTTATTATACTATAATTTATTTCGTATATTCTTCATTAAATCTATCACTGGTTGTTGCGATTAAACTATGATATTACTAGGTGTTTGGAAATCTTTGTTTCTGATAATATTTACCCAGATAGCACATGACGCCTTAAAGACGCCTATTTTACGACTATTTTATGTTTAAGGTGCCTTTGAGCCGTCTTCAAGGGGTCATGTGCTATCTGGGTATTGTTATATTTAATTCATCATGATGTATTTATAAATAGGAAGGACTATGGATTTCACTTTTGACTTGTCTCAAACACCAGTGATTGGTAGACGATGGCTAATACGTCAAGGTGTAGATGAAAAGTCAGTCGGCACTCCTCGGTGTTCAGTGTCTCTTTCGCCAGCTGACAGTAATGCAGTTTCTGGTTGGAAGAGACCATGGATGTCACAGGTTCGAAAATTAACAATAGTATTAAACAATGCATAAGGAAGATGTAATCTAACAGGACTTCGTTTCTAGGGACGAGTCAGAGAATGCTTGGTGAATCTTCTGACAACATGCGGACAACGTGTTGGATTACCAAAGAGCCCATCTGTAAGTTGTCAACCGTTTAGAATCATATTCAGCTATTTGTCTAAATTATACATTCCTATCCAATTGTTTTCCTGTGAAAAATAATATCATCTGTTAACACTGACTTTCATTATGTACCCCTTTTTAGGATGAACACATTAGTTCAATGACATTGTATAGCAAGGTAACAGGTTTCGTTAAATGCAGTCTGCACTCATTATTCACGAGAGTACAAAACTATCTGTTTTTACTCGTATGCGATGTTTTATCAATTAAGTATATTCACGCTTTAATATGCTTCATACAGTATTACTATATCATTCATATAGTAGGATAATTGATGCGCAGTAGATTTTTGTGTAGCATGTTAATCATATAAAAAATTGGTGTATAAAATACGATATACGCGTGTATTGTAACGATAAAACAACCGCTATGTCAGAAACTATGCAAAAAAAAAGATCAATGTAAACCGGTTCATTATTTAAACACGTACGTGCACAATAATCGCTAAAATTCACAGCATTGTCACATAGTAAAGAATATCAAATGAAAATGTCATGCTGACTAAGGACCCTGTTGCTTTTTCTTCATATTTTCCTTGTTCATGGACTAAGAACAAGCCTTTGCAATGCAGGTGATATTCAGTCAAAGTTCAGATTTAATGGAACGGCAATCATCCATGGCTTCCTCAACGGAAGAAGTTTCCGGTGCAAACAATGACTTGAGCGGAGGCTCCAGACGGGACGATGAACAATTTGGTGTATTTAAAGACTTCGATTTCCTTGAATATGAGAGTGAAAGTGTTGAGGTAAAAATTTCAATTGCTTATATTACTGTTCATAGTTTTTGCACCATTCAGTTTTGTGCAATTTATTTTCAATTTTCATTCGTATATCATAGGGTGAAAGTACTGACAATTTCAATTGGGGAGTGAGGAGACGCCCTCTCAGCGAAGGAGAAGAAAGGGAATCAAGTTTGAAACAGTTCGAGGAAAGTTTAAGCGAAAAAACACAATCATCTAGTAAACATACCAGTCGAGTAAGTGAAGACATGAATTTAAATAAGAAAACTTATCATTTAATATAATACTAATCACGAGGGTACTCGCTGTCATACAATTTTAAGTATGAGGATATAACGAATATAATGTTCAAATTTTAGCGGGGAGTCGCTGAAGAATCATCAGACGACGAGGCTGGCTCAGAATCACCTTTAGACGAAGTACCTGGTGCATCAGGAACGGGTCAAGACGCAAACACTATACCTGGAATATTTCCGCCATCTTCTCTTTCCTTGATACCTACTCGCACCCGCCATGACTCGTCGACAAGGTCTGACACATCGTAAGTTTCATAGTAGCTTATACAAAACTTGCATTCAATTAATTAATTTTTATCACATGTTTGCAGTGGCTCCAGCGCTGGAGATTTAGGGGACGTAACGCCTTGCAACGCGTCGCCGAATCTTTCGACCTTGATGCCTTTTAGACAAGTCGTACGAGACGACACCGAAGAAGTGTGGCGGCAACAAATTCAAAATCTCGTCACGCAATCCCTATACAACACATTAGACTTTTTCCAACTGTTGGGTAGAATTCTAAGGGTAAGTATGTTTTACATTCAGTAAACACATCGATGAAAATTCTAACGTATTTTTATTATTACCATCAGGATGTAAGCAGTAAATCTGTTACTCTTACACGAGAAGCCAGTGCCTTATTATGTAACGGCGGCCCAGCTTCTACCCAACTAGGCTATCATTTAACTAGTCACGCAGATCTGCTTAGTTCAAAGGCTGAGCCACCATTGATTTGGTTCTCTATCACTTTATTCGCGAATCAAAGGTTAAACGAGTCATTACGGTTTGGAATGTTGGAAATCCAAGAACATCTAGAAACATTCCTGGACAAAAAGGATCACGCTACGGAAGTAAGTGTTTCTGTGAATAATCAAGCATATTGAATACTTAGAACATTATTAACAAATTATTTTCATCAGTGTTTGGAAGCTGCCAAAGCAGCAGCGAAACTCCAAGCATTAGGCGGTGGTCACACCACAGAGGCTGGCCTTGAGGAGATGCTTTTAGATTTAGGCAGATCGCTTTACAAGCTTCATCTTCAACTTCTACTTCTGATCGAAGCTTCGAATAAGATGTTAGGCACACTCACGAATGCCGCGAAGAACGTACACATTCCACTTCAGGATATATCGACCGAAATCGCGAATATGAAGACTGCACTGAGCAGAGCGCTCGAGGAGAGCACGGAGAGTGAAAGGGGTACACCAACTCCGACGCCTAGTCCAAGTCCCCTACCTGGCGCAGGGGCTGTCGAGGAGGTTGCCCGAGTTGCGGACTTGCTCAGAAACGCAAGATGGTGTCCTGCGCTCGAGGCTGTAAGACTCCACCGAGCTCAGTGGCCTGGTGATCCTTTCCATGATGACGACGACGTGACAACGGCTGTTAATATGTACTGCAAATATTTAGGACAAGATAGACCTCGTAAGTGTACCAATATAGTTCAGACGAAGCAAAGACTTAACCAAGTTCTCTGTATTGCTGCCCTTTACAAGTAAAAATCGTGACTCTAAAAATAACGCTGCTACATAAAATATCATCAGTTTCTAGAATCTAGAATGTACAACAGATGTTAGTAAATATTCTTGGTTTTGTAATTAATTATTATTCCCTTTCGACAGATATTTTTGTGGTGACACGAAACAACGACGAGATGTCAGAGATATTCAACAGACTGATGGAAAGTTTGTTCCAAGTTCTGGCCGCCGTGACAGGCCTGGAAGCATCGACAAAGGCCGCACGGTCGCGACACGATCATCCTAATAACTCGAAAAGTGACTGCTAACTCGTAAGAATAAGTTTTAATATCATGTTATAGACAACCGTTCGCCTGAACTCGAGTCTTCATCTAATTTAATTGTGCGTGCGTTTTATCCGTGTATTTAGATATGTTGTATACGACTTATAGACGTATGTATTTATGTATGTATGTATGTAATATCGCGAGTAACTATGATATAGTAATTTAGAGAAAACACGCACGAGCGGAAGCGCGATGCCGATGATTTTAACGCTTCTTTTTTTAACATAAACGCAATGACAAATGTACCTAATTATTCGGTGAAATAAATTCCCGAAAGCTTAATAAAATATCTGCAACCTATTTACATTCATTTTTAAAAATGATTCTTGGTATAGAACGTTCTATGTTCGCTGTTCGTCCTGAATGTAATGACCATCACTTATATGAATGTTACCGTAGCACAAATGATTTTTGCAAAAGATTGGTCAGCAACATGATTGAAGGTGTATTAAACATTATTGGTAATATGGTCTGTAGGGAAAGGTACCATCGTTTATGATAACTGTTCCGGGATATATATGCGACAAATGGGTTGCTATGGAAACAAATGGCCCACGTGTAGTGGTATTACCATTCAAAATGGTCTCAACAGCGTTATTAAGGAAATGGAATCGTGGAATGCATTACCAGTATCTATTAAATAATAATTACCGTTAATTATGGATATTATATAGAGCGGTTTGTGAAATAAGTTATAAGTCCTTTAACAATGACAACTTAGCTTTTTTTATATTTGTAATTTGCTACTGGGAATGAAACAATTTTATATAGTTTATTGTCTATCAGTTTTTGATAATTAAGTATTGATTCTATAAATCTCATTGTGTTATGTTATATAATGTTTACAACGACCTAATATATTTGAAATGCAATTGCTTTTTGTTTGAAATATTATTTCAAAAGCTGTTCCTAATCATACATTGTGTTTCTACTTTGGTAGAAGATGTCTCAAAAGTTATTTCGCAAACACAATGTTTCTGTAGCTTTTAAAGGACTGGATGTTCCATACAACCTTCATTGGTCTAAAATATGAAGTGGGGACAGAAATTTACATGTACCAGGTCCTCTGGAGTGTTCCAACTCCAGCTTATCCTGAACCCCAAGTTACAGTCAGTGTGAACTTCTACATTATGGCAAACCATTCTCATCCCCCTCATTATCCTGTTAATGTAAGTCAATATGTACTGTTTTAACAACATTGCAAATGTTTTAATATTGCATATGTATTAAGATCTTGCGTGAATTTTGTCTCCGGATTTTTGATTAAACATACAGTGTAACATTTCAAAGACTATGTGTTCTTTAAGGATGAATAGTAGTGCAGATATAGTAGTTATAAATGAAACCTCTTGTATGGGTAATAAACAAGTTTATGAAATTAAAAAAACAATTTTTTAAATTAAATACATACCAATTAGAAAATATGGCGATTCGTGAAAGGGTGAATTGCTCAATAGCTGAAGAAAAAACTGATTGTTTTTAGGTTTATTTTCAACATGTTTTTTTTTCCCAAATAAAAATTCCGTATGCTTAAAAATGGACATTATTCTCCATTTTCGAGGTACAGTGAAAAATTACAAAAAATATATAAAAATGCAAGAAAAATCAATTTTTTAAGTCATCACATTGTTGATTTGCCTTTTAAAAATTGTTCTTACTCTCTTTATATATACAATCCTTATCTATGTATTTATCGAGGATCAGAACTTCCATAAAAACCTATTCATTAATTTGTTTCTAGGTTTTGTATAGATTCGAAGGATACGAATATTTACACAGGCTCAGTATGATCTTCAGGCCCAAATGGTTGTACGACATCTTCGACATGAAAACGATGATGTTTCAGTCTTTCGATTTCTGAGTTGTCTTAAATTTTGTAAGGTAAAATGAAATACGGAAACATTAATGATTAACGAGTAATCCCAAACTACCAGAAAACCTTATTAATTTGTGTTTTTTTTTATTACTGACTTTCCAAATAATATAGTGTCTAATATTGTTCTTTGTTGATACCATCTACTATAAATAAACATCTAAATTTAACTCCTTCAGTGACATTTAAACTTCAGCTAAATCATAAATTATTCAATGTAAACTCTATCTCGTCCGTGGCCACGTGCGAAGCGTTGTAAAAGTACGGGTGTCGTATTCAAACGAATCGAGTGTGCGCACGGTGCACTTTGGCCGTGTGCCGGACTCTGGTTTACATTAGTCGGTCAAGCAATAAGAGCAGGTGATAGTCGCAATGGAAAATACATTTACCGTAGGCTTTTACGAACATTTTACGCGGTCGCCAATGGCTAAAACTCTTTAGGGTCAAATTCATTCAAACATTTCTAACTGAAATGGTGGTCAATACTTTTTATTACAAGTATTGAATTTATGTATTGTTTTACTAATATTTACGACTTTTGCAATAACTGTTCAGAATCAAACTCATTGAAACATTTCCAACTGAAGTGGTGGTTAATGTTTTTTATTATTAATATTGAATTTATGTATGCTCCAAATGTAAGTGATAAAAAATACATAATGAAAGTGTTGATTGTACAGGGTATTGCGCTTGTTTATTGGTACATAGATAGTTTTTATGGTAGAATAAAAAAGTCAGAAGAAATATTCTAAAAATGAATTACATTTTTAATTACTATTAGCAAATGAATAAAAAAAGTATTTGCAAGTATAGGCATCTCATAGTAAATATGTACCTGTATTAAGCTAAACCAAATGCATATGGTGATAAAGAAGACATTATTCAAAATTGTTCTCAATTAAAGAGAATGTAATACAAAACTCAAATGACTTTATTCAAGAATCTTCGAAATTACTTGAAAAAAGTCGACGTGTGCCAATACTTTCCTCACCCGTCGTAGATCATTGAAGATCAATGGACAGTTCAACCAGTTAAGGTTCCCGTTCTGCCTCTTATGAATTAAAAACATGTACAATTACTTGAACTGTTTCTATAAACTGTCGAAAATTAGAATTTATAATATTAAAATAAATTTTAGTGATCATCTAGGTATATAATCTTAGCAAATTATTACAGAATTAATATCGATGTATTATACTCCACTTTAATAATTAAAGTACCATTTGTAAGCTGTCAAAACACGTTCTTGTTAATCCCACTTTTTTCATCTTGTTCTCCTTTCGTCTCTTTTTTTGCATCATCTGCCTTGTAAAAAACGGACAGTGATCCGAATCCTCTCCCGCGGAGCGTCGGCCATTCGTTCGGTGAGAATCTATTTAAATTTCCACCGAGCACACCGAGGAGGTGTAAACCATGCGTTGGTCTTTCGGACGGTTTCTCTCAGTGTTGTATTTTTTTTCTTCTCGTTTCTCGACACGCCATTCGGTTTCGGTGATACCGACGACAAATAGAAAACGATTCGAAAACCTGTGAGGGACTTCGCCGTGGTTTCTTGCACATGGTGGTCGGATGACACTGGGAGGTCTGCGCGTTTCTCGGCAGGAGCCGAGGAATATCGACAACCACGTGTCGAGCACGTACGACTGCATCCACGCGACGTCGTATACCCCTTTAGCTTCACCAAATTAGATAATAAACCTCGTCAGTTAGTATATATCCTAACGACATGTTATTAAGTGCTATATAATACAGTTAATTTATATCTACAACGTTTTTTTTTCTGTACTTGGTATACATATTATTCTATTTTTCTTTTTGGTTTTCGTGATCGTCTTGGGACCTGGCAATTAGTTTAATAAATGAAGATCCCACGAGAAAAAACATGATATGTCACATTTTCCGTTTTTTTACGGAAGAGCAATTTTAAAGTAAAAAAAGATCATATTATTTCCCTATACAGCTATTTTTAAAAAGCTTATTTCTTTAAACCTAACAGATCGTCCCTCTTTTCAACTATGTCATATTAAAAGCGTTTAGCTACCAGATGACATAAAAATCAGGAAATCAACAGAAATACACTTATCATGTTTTTTAACCAATGATGTTCAAATGTTTTTAACATATTTGTTACTGAAGTGTACATATTTATGCTGAGTAGTACAGTTGAAAGTACTTCCAATTTTCATATTATGGTTCGCAAAAATCAAAATTAGAGAACAATTTATTTTAACAATTGACTTGTCGAGGTGAAATTATGTTGATAAATTTAATGGTTTTTATTAAAGTTTTTATTTCGTTGTGGTCTCTATACTAAGATTAACTATGAATGCTTCAAGTATGTAGTTTAATTAGAAATAGTTGCAATATTGTTGTAAATGAGTGAATTATTACTAGCGTCTCTTGGAGAGAAGGAAATTGAATAGAATTGTTTTCTACAGTTTTCCTTTGGCTTGGCAGGTTGCAGGTCAGAAACGATTCGACTCCCGAAACCCGAGTGGAAACAGACCAACAAGTGCGGTTCTTTATGTATGGCGATCGTGTTACGACACCGTTTAAAGATCCATTAGAATCATTACGTTAGACTCAACTTTACCCAGAAGCAAACGCTTACACTGCAAACCGAGAGAACAGTTCAGTCTCTTTATCAAGAACTGGCTTAAGTCCAGGCTTCTGAAATATTAGTTTACTGTAAAATTAGCGAATGTTGTGAATAACTTGCTATTCTTTCGTCTAACATGTGTAAATTGTCCTTTTTTATTTCATATTATCAGTACACTGATTTATTAAAGCCTACCTCCAGCGTTCAAAGTTTTCATTTGAACGAATAAAAAATAACATTTTTAGATTTACTAGCTTCTCACTTATACAAAAAAAAATCGTGAACATTGAAGAAACTTGCGTTGTAAGGATTTCTCTTATGCGTGTATTCTTCAAACTTTCCTCGACCGTTTATCATCTAAACAGAAGTATTCGATAACTCTTTTCTTTTGTGTATGACGAATAAATGGAAAATAACATATATGGTGATAGAAATGAAACAATAGTCTCCTTAAACCTAATATGTAATTTGCAACCAAATGAAAGTTGAACCATACATAGCACGAAACAGGGAACAATATTGTGAAACGTGGTGACTATTGAAACCGTTGAGAAAACAAGTTGCAAAATGAGTTAGATACAGAAATCAAAATCGATCATATATCATAGATATTATTGTTCCAATACCAATTTAAATAACGTAAACAGAAATGTTACATGACTATTACTCATTGATGTAACTAGAATTTTTGTCTGGGGGGGGGGGGCAGGACCCGTGACTTTTGCCCATAACACTCATTAGGCACCTGTATATAGTTTATACCATGTACGTGGGTTGCACAAAATAAAGTTATACATTTTACGGAAGGATATAAACAGAATTCATAAACATAAAAACAAATACAGAAAAAAATTGGAGATTGATTAAAAGTAAGAGTATATTATGTTCAGATACCTATAGTTAAAATCTATATAAGCTTCAATTTACCGTTTTTTTTGCAAAAATATTTTTCTCATTCTCGAGCGCTAGTCCCCTTATTTATTGCATCTGGCCCGTCAATTGATGTTACAGGATTATTAGTTACAGTAGAATGTTAAAATTAAACAGCTTAATTCTACTACAATTGTATTTAATACTTTAACATAATGAGGATAGCGTTGTATTTTTTGTATTTAGTTGTTTTGCGTACCGCATTTCGGCCCACGTATTTATTTCTTATAACATAAGATTCTACTAACTGACGAATTTTTTTTTACATATTTCAATCATTTCTGGCCGGGAGGGGGGGCAGCCCCCCGTCCCCTCTTGGTCCGTACCTAGTTACGCCAATGTCGTTACTTGAAGTCGAATCGTACAGTTCAACGTCTGAAAATGGGGTGCTCGTTCGAAGCCGGAGGATCGAGAATAGTAAGAAGAAAGTCGAGAGGGAACGGAAAGTGAAGAAAAAAGGCGGTACATCCACAAACAATCGGTGGAAATATGTGGGTCAAAAGTTAACCGGCAATACCGGTACCAACCACCGTTGCCTATTTATACGGTGGAGATTTTTTGTCCGGTGGGGCCGTGGTCCTAAACATCACATCCGCCGAGGTGCTTCCTCCGCGGGGGCCGTGTTTCACCCGCGATCTTGGTTAACCGACGAAGGAAACGCCGCAGGAAGAACGGAGAAAGAACGGGATAGGAACCACCGCTTCACTTTCAGCAGCTTCAAACATCCGCTGCACCAGCCGCCGCCAGCCAGATCTCTCTCCTGCCCTCCCGTTTCTTCTCCCCTTTGGTTCCATCGCGAAGAGACACACCACGCGTTCCTTCATTTCTCTTCCCCCCTTTCATTCCAACGGGGTTAAAGGGAACCGATACCCAGTTTTCACTGACGTACGGTGATCTGAAACCGTAAAAACGCGAACTAACCTCGAATTTTCGACCCCTTTAGAAACCCATGATATTTTAACTATATATAGTTCCTTAGATCTGTAGACTAAGTTTTGGTTGCCATAAGTCGTCAAAAATTCGTTGGTAAGCTTCGAAAATGGGAAAAATCATTTTTTTTATCATGACGGTGAGTGTCGAAGAATATGCTAGAGGAAGATACCAAGATTAGAACGGATCTGTACTACCATTCAAAATAGACAGCGGATTTTAAGCATTTATCGTAGATACTGCTTACAAGGGAACTCCCCAAGATCGACAACTTTTTTCCATTCAAACTGGTACGAATTTGTAGAGAATCAAAATCCATTAAACATATATTTTCTCGTTGTTACTAAAAAAACGGCTTGAAGGGGTGAAACAGTCCCTCAATATTCGCTACGACAGAACCAGGGGGTCTAATCTCGACCCAAAAGCGGCGATCAGCCTGCTCAGCAGTGTGTATCCCCAGCAATGGCACTAAATATCGGGTGACATCAGAGACGGGAGGGCAACACACATCTGGAGTGAAAAAGGCCGG